AAACTGTTTAGGTTTTCTTCAAAAATGAACGTGGTGCGCGAAGTGCAAGTTTTATTATAGTAATATTTAACGAATGAGAAAATTACAAAAACCATATCCGGCTTTACTTTCCATATCAAATATCGACCTCACATTGACTTTTTACAATGGATTTCAAGTAGTATCTCTCACCCACGAATAATATGTCAAATTTACCATTTACCCCCCAAACGGCGCCTATCCACACTCTTTCTCCCCACCCGAGAGGCTTGTGCAGTTCGACGCACCCACCACCGCTTCTCCTTTCTCCACCGCATGCGCCGCCATTGCTCCATCGAAGGCCGCTATCGACCTCGGATTTTAAGGCTGGCAACGGTTGCCTTGCCAACTCATGGCCAGATCAAGGTCAGAATGACTTCGATTTGGCGGCCATGGCCCGGCTTTACTACGGAGCTTGCGGGGTGTGGCCAATCGTTGCCCTCGCGAACTAGACGCCGATCTCAACAGCTGCGAGTCACGGGCTCGGGCCCAGTTCATGTGGCCTTGCCATCGCGAGCCGCTCCCGCCATAAATAGAGACATAGACCAAGTGAGAGGGGCACAAATAATATGCAAGGGGGGCGAGGGTATCGTCATACATGTCGAGGTCAGGTCGTGGCATCGAGCGGTGGCTTGATCCATTGGGTTGGCTCTTGACCGTCGATGTGCTATGCCGCCGTGCGCGAGGACAGAGAAATGATATCGGGAAAAAGCGGGGGGAGGGGTTTGGGCAGACTTTGCGTATGCACGAGGGCGAACGGGTCCTTTTTCTCCGCGGAGATGCAAAATGTAGGTTTTCAAATGTAAATATGACGAGGGTAATGTATTATGAATAACAAATTTGAGGATGATTCTTCTTGCAACTATCCTCTAATAAGCCGATTTCGTTCGTGTTCACTCGAAAACCGACCCGGCCCAATTAATTTGTCCGGAAGTGGGCCTGGGCCTGGGCCTCGACCCCTTTTTCGATCGTCTTCATCGTCACGACCTGATCCGAAACAGTCACCCGATTCCCACCACCGCGAGCGCGAATGATTCTCTGACGCCGACTCGCGCGTAGCTCGGTCGGCGAAGATGTCCATCTTCTTGAAGGATCAACACATCCAAGAACTGGCTCAGTACGTCCACATCAATCAGAACGAGTTCGTCCATCGAAGGTAAAGATTTCAGTTGTTTTTCCTTCTCGTTGCCCTGTTCCGGTGCTTCGTGTCCGGAAAAGGATGATGATTCGATGGGGAGCGAAGTCGAGCGTGCGTGCGATGTGATGATGTGGATTCGTGCGAAACCGATCGGAAGGCGGCTCTTTGATTCGTGCAATTTCGGATTTTGGTCGCGTTTTTAGTGAGCAGCATGTGACATTGGGTGGAAGAGCTGTCGTGGTGGAAGGGCTCGAAATGACATCTTTTCGCATACAGAGCGAGGAGTAAAGGTCCAGGACAGTTCATCGATTCGGTCTGTGACTTCGTGAATTTTGTGCGGAAAAGTAGAGTGGCTTTGTCGTTTCTTGCGAAAGAATTAAGTTCCGTCCAGTTTTCGGCTTCGAAATATCACAAGAGGAACATTTGTTCTCACTTCTGAGACTGGGAATGTTTACGAAAAAAAAAATTAGGGTTTTGGTGGGGAAATTACGAGAATGAGGAGCATTGCAGGAGGAATTAGTTGCTAGGTGGAGTAGCTATAGTGTTGGCGTAGGGCGGGTACTCTTGGAGATAGTTGCTATGGTTTTGTCATTTTTTTATGAAGACCTGCATGCCGTTCTTGTGGTTTTTCGAGCATTAGATTGTTGTCTCTCTGTCAAATTCCGTTGAATAATGTATTTTCATGGGATAAAGGTGCCGGAGGTCCCTGAACTATTGCAAAATGTCCAATCAAGTTCCTCATTTGTTTTGTGCAGTTGGATCCTAAAGTTTACACTTTTTTTTCGAGTTGGTTGTTGCTGACATGGCGGACGAGATCAGTGAAACATCAGCACGTTTCGCCAACTCATTGTTGACCTGGAATAAAGAAATAACAAAACAAAAACAAAAAAGAAGAAAAAAAACCATAGGGTAGAGATTAAAAGTGAGGCTGGGTGGTGGGGTGGCACCACCTAGACATCGGTTAGGGTCCAGCAACCCTTGGTGGCATCCAGGTCGGATGCAGCTGCTGCCGCCACAACCGCAACCCCCCACCCACCCAATACAAATATATATGTATGCCTTTTGGCATGTAGGATGACACATCAGCATTTAACTACATCTTAAATGACACGTCAACATCTCAGGTTATCTTTTAACAGAAGGACCAACTCGAACAAGGAAGTATATAGTTTAGGGAACCCATTGCACAGAAAAAAAGATGGGGGGCCTGATTGAACATTTTGCAATAGTTGAGGGTCCTCTAGTGCCTTTATCCCTATTTTCATTTCAGGAACTTACTAAAAAGTGACCTCTGATTTTTAAGAACATCTGCTAATTGATGACATTGGCTGTCTATTTGAGATCAATTGTCTTACTTCTGCATCAGTTTTCTGCTGCAAAAGTTACTTCGCTGTGGTGGTTCTTCAAAAGCTTAGTGACCAAACTACCACATCAGTGTGGCTTTTAAGTTTTTAAAATGAAATGACTGCTTTTAATTGTCAAACTTGGGAATTAGTCTGTAATATGCCGCACTTTCTAGACATCTAAATTCCATTTGGAGTGGTGGTTGCTCACCTCCAGAAAACTTCTGAATTTGGAGCTCTGTGAACATATCTTTTAACTTCTAAGCAAGAATAAGGATGTTTGTCTTGATTTTAAAATCATTTCTAATTTATATTTGGGTGATTGATAATTGAGGCATAGTTGTTTCTCCTTAACTTGTTTCTGATTATATTTATTGGAACTAAGTAAGTTTGTTGGAATTTGGAACCTCGAATTGTATTCCCATGAAGGAATGCTAAAGTTGGAAAACCACATAATCATTCAAATACTTGTTTTGGCGCCTATAAATTAAACCTTCCTTGGTTGAATACTAAATAGGCACAAGAGGCAGAAAGAAGAGGATATTGCTATTTGTGACTGCAAACTCGATCCAACTGATCCTGACAGTGCCTGTGCAGAGAGATGCTTGAATGTCCTAACCAGTACAGAGTGTACTCCAATATACTGCCCCTGCAATTTGTATTGTAGGAATCAGGTACATCCAGGGCATGATGCATTCTTATATGTATATATGTATTTATGATGAAGTACTTCTGCTTGTGTAAATTTAGGCATCATATTTGTACAGTTGGTCCACGATAGTAGTAAATTCCATACTCATGTCCTTATCATTCCTATATTCATGTATGTACGTATGATGAGATTGTTCTGTGACGATGCTTAATTTTGTAAATCGATACTTCAACTCATAGACATAACAGGGAGATTGTTCTGCCACTAAATTTTTCCCAGCTCGATGGTGTAGCACATCTATTTTCCCTTTAAACTTAGATATTCATGCTTCAAAATATATCAACCAACAATAGTTGGCATGAAGTTGCAATCTCTTCAACGGTCTAGACTCTAGAGTTTGGTGAGTTTGCATATGCGGGTGCAATGCATTGTTCATATGAATGTGCATGTTTTGAGGCTGTTTCTTGTTTTGAAAATGCCAAGTTTCTGCGTGCTCGATTCCCAAAGCTAAAATTCTGCTTGTTCAATACTGCAAAATAATGGGAATGGGCATTGCTGAAGAATGTGATTTCTAAACTCATGTGTATAAGAGTAATCAGTTATTGATGTCTTGTGTGATCATTGTTGACAGAGATTTCAAAAATGTCAATATGCTAGAACGAAATTGTTTAAGACAGATGGCCGAGGATGGGGTCTTCTTGCTGATGAGAACATTAAGGTATGAATCAGCATATTTCTCCTAGAATAAATCTCCTTTTTTGGTTTTCTTTGATAATTAATAAGGTAAAACTTTAATCAGGAGCTTTAACATGAGATATTCCTGCTCTTTGCATAGCTCACACAGCTTTAATGAAGCCATAGACAAACTAGTGCGCCTCTGTCACTTGATATATGCTTAATTGTTGACTTCATAGTCAGCTTGAATGGATTTAATGGAATCTAGGGTTTCTGTGACTAAATTATGGGCCTCCATCTGTACGTATGCATAGTTTGCAGTTACCTGATAATGAGATTTGTATTGGCTGTTGTCTTTTTTAAAAATGCTTGTCTTGAAAGTAATAGCTGTTGTATGGCCTCATTCAGGCCGGGCAGTTCATAATTGAATATTGTGGAGAGGTAATATCATGGAAAGAGGCAAAACGAAGGTCTCAAGCTTACGAAACTCAAGGTGATGTATAACAGCTAATTAATATAATATTCACAATTTTTTCACCCTTTAAAAGCTGTTTCCAATTTCCTATTACATGATGCAGGTCTGAAGGATGCATTTATTATATATCTTAATGCCGCAGAGTCCATTGATGCAACTAAAAAGGGAAGCCTTGCTAGGTTCATAAATCATTCATGGTTAGCCACATAAGTTTTTCTGTTTTACGGATTGGTAGAACTATACATTGAATAGTGTTAGCCATTGGACTTCAAATTTTTCTACATGCTGTTCGTATAACAACAGATAGCTACTATGTCCCTAACATCATTGTGGCGCCAAAGTCAATCCTTATCATTGATTGAATCTTCTTTTTTCAAACAGCCAGCCAAATTGCGAGACAAGGAAATGGAATGTATTGGGGGAGATAAGAGTTGGCATATTTGCCAAGCAAGACATTCCTGCTGGAACTGAATTGTCATATGATTACAATTTTGAGTGGTATGGTGGAGCCAAGGTCCGTTGTCTCTGTGGTGCCCCTAGCTGTTCTGGTTTCCTGGGTGCGAAATCCCGTGGTTTCCAGGTATTTTTTATGGCTTGGTAACGAATCTGTTTTTATTTTTCCTGATGGTTATGCACATGTTATCCTAGCTACTTCTTTTTGGAATATCGGTGTATGTTGGGTCGTCGATCTCCATTCTTCTGGTGAATTATGATTAGATTTTATTAAAGGAGTCCATTTTTCTACTTGACAAGTATTATGGGGTTTCTATGTGTGGCGAGGAGCGAGAGATGTGGCCTTATTTCGCATGCTGTGTGAGTGGGTTGATTTGGAGTCACTTTGGTTGAGGCAAGGAGGACAATTCTTGGGCTATTTCTGTACTGTTTGATTGATTTGATGGGAAAGAAGAGGTTATTGGGGGTTGGCTAATGGTAATTTGAAGATTTGGAGTCAATTTGGTTGAGGCAAGAAGGACAAAATTTGGGCTATTTCTGAACTGTTTGATTGATTTGAAGGGAAAGAAGAGGTTATTAGGGGTTGTCTAATGGTAATTTGAAGCAGTATAGCCAGTGTTGTTTAACTTTTTAACTGAATGCATCTCATATTTCTTCATTTGCACACATGGAGGGAGCTTTAAAAATTTCTTCTGGTTTTTGAAATATTATTACCCAAAAAGCTGTCTTGGATTGGCTGAGAATCCCTTAGTGTCATTCTGCTCTTAAAGTTCTTTCATCTATCCATAAAAGGGGGCTGTCTTGGTCATACAAATGAAGATTGCCTTTTCAAAGGTGAAATCCATTTGGAGGTTTCTTCCATATGCTGTCCATGTTTAAAATTTTAATGTTTGAATTATTTTCAAAGGAGAGGCGATGTTGTTGCAACTAATGTAAAAGAGCTGAAAAAAGTTTGTGATACTCTGTTGCTTCGCATTTGGACTGAGGAAATTTGGGCCCTGATGTGTGCCCGGAGGAGTATACTGGGTGGAAGCAGCACCTTATGGAATTGTTATCCAACAGTTCAGACATTCAAATGCTTTGTTAGCTCGGCTGCCTGAGATTGTTCATGCTGTCAATAATCTTGAATTCAGCTGTTGACTGAATAATCTTGAGTTCGACTATCAATCAAGCTGATGCATTGATAGTTTTGTGCCCCTTTGGGATGTTTTTGACTAGAAGTTCGTTAACTCACTAGTTGATGTCTTTTGGCACAAGCATGATGACAGCCCAAAAGGCCCTTGGATAAAAGTGGATTCTCAATGTTATTGAAGCATTGAGGGAGCAATAATTATAGGGAATGCCTACCCCGCAAACCCCCTACCGCACAATATATATATATATATATATTGAAGAAAAGAAAATTTGTCTTGAAGTCCTATATATCCTCGCTAACATAAGAAATATAATGAAAATGGCGCTCGATATAGTTATAAAGCAAACAGTAGGTAATATCACCCAATGCATTTGCTGAAGCAATTACCAAATCTCTCCGGTCGCTGACTTTAGCATCTTGAAACCAGTTGCTGATGAGTCTCTAAGGAAAAAATCTGTCAACAATGGAAATCGGCATCGGGGTCTACAAGTTAGGAGTCCCTCTGGGCTTAATAGTTGAAAATTTTTACAAAAGTTATGAACTTGTTTAGTTAGGTATATTTGTCACCAACCATCTGAGGTTTTTATTCATAGTTCCGGTGGATGCCACATGAATGAACTTTGAAAATTCTCTCTGTTTCTTGTTTTTCCTTCTCTATGTCACATGAATGAGCTTTGATGTTTCTCCTCCCTCATCTAATGCCTTTTTCTACAGGAAGATACTTATCTATGGGAAGATGATGATGACAGGTATTCTTTTTGTTATCGTTCTATGCTAATCATGTCAATCATTTTTTGGATGTTCTCTGAATTCTCAATTGGTTATCTACATATTAAATCACTTATCAACTGCTACTCTTCTTCTTATAATCGTTGCACAATCATCATGGGGTCCACCCATCTCATATGGTTTTTCCCCATCTATCCAGCGCCATGCATTTGCTGAGTTTGTTGATGTTCCTTTCCATGTTTATCAAGAGAAAATGTTATAGGTCCTGCCATAAAAAATGTGTGTGGACTTAAGGAAGAACGCGTTTAGGACACCATGCATTTAGGACACAAGGCAGCTTCTTCTTTATCATCTTCTGATAGTCCTTTGTAAAGCTGATAGTCTTATATGTTAGATTTGCATGTTTTTACTTTGAGGACTTCATTGTTCACCTTTTCTTTTCTCTGGCATTTAATTATGTCTGTATCTTTAATGGATATCAGTAAATGTTTTTTTATAGAAATGCTCAGTCACTCTTTTTTGCAGGTACTCCGTTGAAAACATTCCACTGTATGATTCTGCAGAGGATGAGCCTACTTCTAAGCTCCAAAAGACTCATGATCCAATGGATCCGGAGTACATCTCAAATGGAAAAGTTGAACCCCCGGTTCAGTTTAATGATTATGAGCAGGTCAATTCTACTACTCCTTTTGTGACACCTCAAGATTTAGTGCCAATTCAAGATGCGGCATCACCTGTTGTGAAAGCTGAAATAAGCGAAGAAGCTGTACTCTATCCTCAAGATTCGCAAAAGATATTCTCACAGAAGAATGCAATGATATTTCGAATTAAGAGTAATAGCGCATGCCGGAATTATCACTTTGGACCTGGGCCTCTTTCAAAGAAAAGGTCACAGATCATATTGAATGGAAGGCCAAAGCATCTTCTGCCAAATGGCAATGGTGCCAAATTGGTTGCTCAACACTTACCTTCAAAAGAAGCACAAGAACTTCTCAAGTGCGAGGTATAAATTGTCCTTTTTTGTATTAGACTGGTCTGTGCAACATGACATGATTATATCTGTTTCTAGGCTGAGGATCCTTTTCTTTTTGTCTTATAAGTAGTAGCGGAACCATTATGCAGTCTTTGTCCGGACGTTTCATGGAGGTGTTGCTGAAATGTAGCATCTGCATGTACCTTAACATGATTAACTAGTATCTTTCTTTATCACTGCACTACTGAGATGATATAGTGAAAGATACTATCACAGTTTTGTCAAAATTAGTGATGGATAGTGACATTATCATCACGTGCTAGAGATATTTCTCACACTACATTATATGAGAAATGCGCAAAGTCGGTTATTTTTGTTGCCATGAAGTTCCGACTTTGTTTTGTTGCTCTCTCGTATCTCATGTCTTCTTATGGTCATCTAGCTGCATCAGGGAAGTATTATCATACACCGTTCTGCCTGGGAAAAAAAAAATTGAAATCATTGCTACTCAGATGCTTTGATTTTGCTTTTTTATGGTGAAACCATAGTTGTCTACTAAAAATATTGTCTAAGTTCCCCTGGGAAACACTGTTGTAGGAAATGAGGGATGAAGCCAATTCTCAGCTCGACTACTTGTACAATGAAATACGGCCAGCAATTGAAGAACATGAGAGGGACAGCCAAGATAGTGTAGCTACTAGTGTAGCTGAAAAATGGATAGAAGCCTCCTGTACGAAGCTGAAGGCTGAATTTGACCTTTATTCATCTTTGATCAAACATGTAATCTTCACACCACGTAAAGCCGAACCATTGGAGGTTGATGAAAATCATGAACAGAAGACTCTGGAATATGATATGCCTCAGAATCTCAGCAGCTAATTCAGAGCTTGTGAATATATAACATCAAGGTGATGGACCAGGACAGTCAGAATACCAAGGGGAAATATCAGAATTCAGTTGGAGCTTACAAGTGAATAGTCGACTTCCAACAAAACAAAGCTGATCCTGTGGCAACTGCAACTGCACCTTGAATTGCAGGTTATAACTGAAAAGTTGACTCAACAAATTCCCAAATTCCCAAGATTAGCAAGTTAATTGCGTGCATTTGATTACTGATGTTCAGTCTGTCGTTCGCTGTATCTAAACCTCATTCTGGACATTCCTTAGTCTGATTGATTATAGCCTTGGAAGCAGGATGTATAGATAGAAATTGTTTTAGAAGTACAGGGTAGGTTCAGGCTCTGCTGTACAAGTTGTCGTGAGTTCTAACTCTTCATTAATTTGTTGTCAGCTGTTATATGAAATTCAAGCCATGAGTGGCTATGCATTTGCTTGTTGTGTTCAACTTTGGTGTCAAAACTTGAATGTTTAGGGGCAATAGTTTAGTTCGACAATTTCAGTTATCCCAATCTGATTGAGCTGGAATGACCAGTTCAAGGTGCTCGTATTTATTGCCGGTTAAAAGTTAGGTGGATCTGAAATGGCATGTGGATTTTCCTGATGCTAATCACACCCTTTTTTTTATGTTGATGAAGAGCTATCAGCAATGGAGTAATTGGTTGAGCTTACGTTTAATGGTATGCGAAACTTATTCTTAGTTACATTAGCAAACTGTGTGTACCCTTACCATATTAAGCTGATGAAAGAAACTGAGTGGAGAGAGATCTATCTGTCACGACTCTTACATACAGGCCATTGTTGGTGACACCAATTGTTTATTTTCAGTCTCATATGTTTATCCTAGAAACCATTTTTCGTGAGCTTAGTAGTTGTCCTGGATTAGAGAAAAAAGACACATCAGTATCAACTAAAGACTTATTCTCAGAGGCTAATTCGTGCCCTGTCAATTTGTGGATGTATTCTAAGGAGTTCACTCTTCACACTGGTTATTCTTTTCCTTCCCATCTCTGAAGCGTGCTTGATGGAAATGCATGTGATTAGGATGGAAATCTTGTTCACAAGCATCTGATTGATGTGTGACGATAAGATGCTTATCAGGTATATTTCGAGATGATTCCAAATGCTGAATGTCTTAATATTGAACAGATCCTGCGAGTGGGACTTGGTAATCAAGCTCCTCCTGACCAATTCAGGGTCATGAATCTCGAGGAACGAATTGGAAAAGTGAAGCAACCATCATCATTGTGGGTTGAACAAAAGTGAAATGATCGAAAGATTGCATCGCCGTAAATGACATCATTGTGTTCCATTGTATTGACTGGGACCGACCCAACCCACTATCGCTAGTGACTTAGAAATTTTCTGGCACGAGAAGTGAAGTGACTAGGTTCCACTCATGCCCTTTTTCTTTCCCTTTCTGCATGGAGATATCCTTGTCTTTTACATGTGTTGAAAAGGTACGACCTTTGATTGCCAGAACGTGAAGTGATATATGACAAGACGCAGGAACGTGATAATCTTTTCATCCTATTTTGATTTTGAACCAGTGAATCGGATGACAAATTGGGTCGACGGATGGTGAAGAAGAGATCTTAGACATGCCACTTCCCGATCGAGTGAATTTTCGTTTGATTCTCCCACACGGGTTATGATCGATTTTATGAAACCCAACAGGCTTGATGCAGCACAACTGTGAGATACAATTCCAGTAACTAGACATAACTCAAAAAGTGAAAAAAAAAAAAGAAAGAAAAAGAAAAAGGCCCCAGAAATGTTGTCTCTAGTGTATGGTCTACTGAGTAGACGGGAAATCTCAGGAGAGTGTTCTTGTCTTGGCTCTATTGTGCTTGGGGACAAGTATCTGCTTCTTGTGAATATCATACAACATGTTTGGTGGGTCTTCTTGCCAGGTCGGTCCAAGGCTAAGATCAGCTCTCGTTTGCATCAATCTAAATAGTTAACTACAACCTTCGGATGGAGGACAGACATTGAGAACCCAGTCACTCAATCGATTTGTATCTACTCCCCTCATCTCTTTGGTGAGGGCTCCTGTGTAAACACACGGCGTCAGTGGACCAGCTGTTCTTCTTTTGTTTGGTGGGTGGTTCATGAACATAGAAATGATCATGTACATAAATGAAAAATCCTCAAGATAAGGCACAGTAGTTGGACACCAGAGGCCCACAGTCCACTGAGCCACCAACAGAAGCATCAAAGTGGAAAGATGACTACTCTCCGTCTCAGTCTTCATCTCCATCCACTTTCATGAAAGGCAAAGTTACCAACCTGATAAAAGTTCACGTGTTTCAATCTGCTAGAATTGACCTCGCTTTTGGTCCATATTATACATGATATCAAGAAGTACATGCTGCAATAAACAAAGGCGCCTTGTTAGGGACCGGTGTTTAATAGGTCGAAAGAAAAAATTTTGACCTCTCGAATTTGCGCCTCTCTTGATCTTCATCAATCTGTGGATGTCACTCATATGAGTTTTATCATATTTATTGAAAATTTATCACTCAATGACACACCAAAGCCCCATTCCCATCCTTCGAGCCCCGATTATCCCGAGTCTTGTGATCTCACCGATCGAGTGGTGATCACGCGTTTTGCTTGTCTAATATGCGGCGCACATACCTCATCGCTATTGATGCTGGTTAAATACTCAGTCCGCTCAATCTAACTCCTTATACACCAATATGCATGCACTCGGTACTGGACTCAAACTGAATCTTCCTGAAGAGGACTGATCGAGGGCCCTAGTGGGACTGACTGATTGATTCAGCCACCTCCTCCACGGCCATGGAGGATGGCCCCCACCACCCACCAACACCATCCCACCACCACTGGTGGCTCTCATGATTCCCACACCAAGCAAAAGAATCAAAATTAAAAGCAAAAAAAAAAAGTAGGACGCACACAAGGCATATCCTCCCCCAACCTCACCATCTGGACTTTGAGTTTGATTCAGTCATAAATGCCACCCCACCCAACTCTTCTACACACCCTTATTATTGTCACTAGAATGCCCAGTATCAATTAATCAATCCTGTTGAAAATTTCATCCAGGACAAGGATTATCTCTGTTCGTTCCGTGATCTCAATCATCTCAATTGTTGAATTGCCGTGAATATGATTTGCTTTGAGATCTGTGATGGAGTACAACAACAATTGAGAATGTCAGGACACCAACTGAGATGCAGCAGGAGATAGAGGATCTTCCTCCCATGTTGGGACGAAGATATTAACGAAATAATATCTGGTTTCTTACGTATTCCACTAAGGTCCCAAGTTGGGACTACTTTTCACTGTTGTGAGTGACCCCAGAGGGATCAAAGCGACAAAACATCAGACTTCAGATTTTCCACTTAAAATCATAAATTTTATTAAATTAATCATGACAGGCTTGCTAAGCAAAGGCACGCATACGTTGCATAAAAAGCTTCACATTTATCATGACACACCTTTTGGTGCAATATAAATGCGGCATTGGAGACATGTCATCCATAAAGTTAGAAGAAAAGCTCTCCTATGAACATATGGAGAAGAACAAGTCCTACCCGGCATACTCGGCTGCATACTTGGGCGAATTCGAGACCGAAGAGAGATCCAACTCCTACAGCTTCAACGGGCCGAGCGGGAAAGGCAACGTGTTCGCGGCGTCAAGCGATCCGGAGCTGAAGAGGAAGAAGCGGATTGCAGCCTACAACGTGTTCACTGCGGAAGGCAAGCTCAAGTCCAGCCTCAGGAACAGCTTCAAGTGGATCAAGGGCAAGTTGAACGAGGTTCGCTACGATGTGTGCGAGTGATTGTCGGCCAATTTCGGCAACGAAAACTTTCTAATCTGATCAATCTAGAGCTGTTTCAATATTTCCATGTATAGAACCTGTGTTCTTTTCCTTCTTTTTCTTAAGGGTTTTCTGTGAAGTGTGATGCGGAGGACTACTTTTGCTCTCGCCATCAGATAACACTACCAAGCATGGAAAATATGAGTATTGGGGCAGTATATTAGTTTGTGCATCTTTTTTCTTCAAAGAAAAAAATTGGAACTTGCATATGCATGTGTATATATGTTCAAGCCATGCACAGTACAGTCAATCATCATATGAAATTCTTCCATTTCTGGTTTGATATTGGAAGCACAAGACAAGCATTTGGTTCTCATGTCCAAACCAGGCTACAACAGAGAACTCGGATCCGACAATTTTTTGTGTTGTTTCACTTGGCTATATATGTGTTTGGCTTTTGTTTAAAGCATGTGAGAAAGGATCCGCACATACACGATTGAACTGACCGAGTGAATCCCCATCTCGTTGTTTGAGTGGCCAATGGCACCATCCCATGCCACGGATTCGACCTTTGGTCGTCAAGAAAATCACCATATGAAAAACTTGCTCATTTCCACTGTCTCAGCACCAACCGAATCTTAACAGAATATCGCAAATTTGAGAGCTAGGGGTTAATAGAGTTTTAGAGCAAGAGGCTCCATACTGCACGCCCTTCATAAAAGTACTTCCCGGTTCTATATAGATGACCCCAGTTTCTATCTCCTTGAGCCTATCCTGTAGGACTCAGAAGCAGCTCATTGGTAGCATTGGTAGCTACTGTTGTTTGATCCACTTTCTGGTGGACGTGCTCAAGTCGGAGCTGTGCAGTAGATAGCTTTGTATCCATTGACTCGAGCACTTCCATTCTGGGCAAATGCATTTTCTGTCTGCCAGTTGAGAACTGCTTCGGCAGGGCTCACCCTCATGGTTTTCCCATGCTCGTCCATTCCAGTTGGATTTGGCACTTTTGGCATGTGCTTGTATCCAGATTGTGTGCCAGTAAATTCCTCTGGAGGAGGAAAGGATGGATTATTCTGAGATTCTCCCGGTGGAGGAAAATCCAAAGATCGGAACGCATAGACGCCTGGTGAGACTGGAGGAGGAGGAGGAGGCTGGGATTCATTAGCACAATTTTGAAAAAGGAGGGAATTCCAGGGAGGAGTGCTTCTTACCCATTTAAGAACTGGATTAAAAAGGGAACAACTGGTTTAGGAGGTGGTTTGGCTGGTGGAGAAGTAGGTTTGTGTTTTGGTGATACCGGATACTTGTACTTACCACCATCTTCTCCAAGGAGTCCAACGGTTGGATCACAATCCTTCCATTTCTGAAAGAATACATGCTCCTCTTCTTCTTCTGCAGGGGCTAGACAAAGTTTGCATGAGAATCTGTTGAATAACTCAATAGTTTTGCAAGTTTAAAAGCCGAAATGTCGTAATGATTTTGATTGAAGTTATGACTATAAATTGTTTTGTAATCGTTTTGACAGCCATCAATTTGAAGGAAAAGAGGCTTCTTCTGTTTTAATTTTTATCTACCTTCAAATAGAACCTCCGAACTACAATCCAAAGTATACATACCTCAACAAGAAAATAATCTACTCTCCTTTCATTTCTTCGCTGGGTTTTACATATAATTTCATTATTCTTGTTCCCTATATTATTCAATCCAGAGTAAAGAGAAAGGATCTTTCCCTCGAGTTTGGCTATAGCGGTAGCCTCTGTTATCTTGGGAGGATAGCCGCTTGAGTTTGTTGCATCGAGTTTTATAATTCGAGCGGCGAAGTTATCCTTTTAGGATAATATTTGTACGCCTTAGGCAATTAATCTTATTTTCATCTTCTCCATTTTTTTTCCAACACAATCAAAGTCCTTAGGGCAATGACCTGTGTGGGATCTCTAAATTACACAAGCGGATATCCTTTATAGTTGAAAGACTCTATTTCAAGCCTTTCTCCTTCACCTTCATCTTGTGGCGTGTCTGGCTGATAATCACGTTGTTGTCTTTCATTTGAGTGAAGTTTGACTCCGAAGATAAAATAAGCCGACTATTTTGATGGAATTTTTCATAGTTAGTCACCCAAGTTTCGTAGAGAAGCTTGATTAACTCTAAACGAGAAATATGTCTCAAAACGGAGACACAAAAAATTGATTGTTGTTTATGAAGATTAAAAGGGCTTTCTCAACTACTAGCAAAGTGAGATCTATGGCATGGTTATGAATCCTGTACACCATTTGATAGCGGATGGTTATTGCAATAGAGTCTAGAGTCTGAGGAGCTCCAGTAATTTATAATTGAACATTTAAGGCTATAAGGAGATGAGAATCTTAGGGTGCATTTAGTAACTATTCTGTTACCGGAAACAATTTCTGCTCAAAAATGATTTTTTTTATTCTATTCCTGAAAATAATTTCTAAGCATTTGAAAGCATTTGGTAACTGCCCAAAATTTCTATTTCTGAAATAGAAAAAGAACAGAAATGTGTTTGGTAACTACATAAAATTTCTTTTTATTAATAATTTTTGAATTTTTTAATATTTCTTTCTCTCTCTTTTTTTTCCTTTTTTTCCTTTTTTTTTCTTTTTTTTTCTTCTTCCCCTTCCTTGGCCCATGGCCAGGTTGCCGCCGCCGGCGACCAACCATAGGCCAGGGCCGACGAGGGCGTCGTGGCCCTCGTCGCGGCCCTTGCCAGATCCGGCGAGGGCCGCCCTCGCCGGATCTGGCGAGGGCTGGACCCTTGCTGGCGACCGGCCCTAGGCCAAGAAAAATGAAGAAGACCAATCAAGAAGAAGAAGAAGAAAGAAAAAAAAATTCTTTTCCATTTCTAATTCTTGTTCCCAGAATCAAGAATCAATTTTTTTTTTATTCTTGATTCTGTTCCAAAACTGATTTTAGGAATAAATTTGTGCTCAAGAACAAAAAATTTACCAAACGGATTTATATTCTTCTTTTGTTCCGGAAAACAAAAGGATAGAATTGGGTACTGTTTGGCAGGTTACCAAATAACCCCTTAGAATCCCATATTGAAGTTGGGAAACAGTGTTTCAAAAACTTTTCCTACATTGAGAGTGGTTTCAACTATGCCAATACAAGCACCTTGGTAATCAAGAAACCTAGTATCGAGTAGTGCCGTGCGAGCCACTACTAGTAAACATTTACAACCATGATGTGATAGAGCAAGACAAATGGCTCCAAAATGGAGGTGTGTAGCCTTGCTGGATCCATTGCGTCGGCATTTTAGGGGGAAATTGGAGAGCTATAGATTGATCTTTTTGGATAGCAAGAATGGCATGTTGATTAAAGTGAGTTGATTGGATTTACTCCTTAGCATCTTTTAGGAATGTCTCTAACTTCAACTTGAGCTAGATGCTCCTTGGAGAGATATTGTGTACAAGTATCCATTTTTTCTTTATCGATGGTGTCGACTTAATCAATGGGCCGGACTGGTTCGAAAATGAGTGGATCCATTACTATAAATATTAGGTTCAACGTATTGAGCTATGCACAAGATAAGATTGAACTTCAAAAAGGATATGTTACCGCACAAAAAAACAAAAGAAGACAAAAAAGGATATGTCCAAAAACTTTAGTTTTTAGGTAAGGCACCTAAAACCTGTAGTCTTTGATACTCTACAATCCTAATAATTATAAAATTTTCATTTCGGCGCGTCCCACACTTTTCTATATTTTTACTGAAATGACATGTCTCAAGAACTCATAAAAAAAAACAAAATACTACTAAAAACCACAAATACTTTTCAAGAAAACACAAGATTATTAAGTCTAGATTCAATAATCAATATATTGTTTAGCTTTATATCATATAATCGTTGAATAAATACACGTTCTATACTTAATTTATCCAAATTATGTTAAATTCATCCTCTCTTAGTACATCCTATACCTTTTTATCGTTGATGGTTTCTTTCTTTTCTCAATTAATTCCTTTTCAAGCTCTAATTTCATTCTTTTTAGTTTTAATGGGTTAACTTTGCTTATGGTACAATGGGATCTTCTCTCGAATTATTTATTTATTTTAGTTAAGTTCTCTAATCGATAATTCTTCAAAATAAAATTGATAAACTAAATTTTCGGTATGGCCCTAATCAATTACACGACACGAACATGATATAGAAAACACATTCCAAAAAAATATCGATTATGTCGCTTATAAAAATGACTAAACATAAATTATTTTTATCATTCACGAGAATATTTAGATAAAAATTATTATCGATAATGAAAATATCTTTAATAGACTAAACGATACAAATGATTTTTTTAAAATAAATAATCTTTAAATTATTCATTTTCTATCAAAAACAAACGAGCCTTCGACCTAATTCATGTCGATTCCGAGATTCTTGTAAGAATCGGTGCAGCTCTCTCTCTCTCTCTCTCTCTCTTCCCCCACACTGTCTCCCGCTAAAACCCTAAACCCCTTCCTCTGCGCCTGCGTTCCGCCAGGCCGAGCAGAGCGAGACTATGCGACGGACGCGACCAGGGGAAGCTGCCGGACGTGCCGATCCCGTCCATGGATGTCGAACTGCGGCGTGTAGGGTTCGAAATTCAGGCCCCCAAGTAAGCCACTAAGCCGCAGCTCATCGCTGGCGGCACCCATATAAAAAAAAAAACGATCTTTTTCACCTTCTTGCTAACTCGCCGCGCTTGTTGAGCTCCGGTTCGCCTCCGGAATCTGCCGAAATGAGCCCCCTTTCGGCGTCTAGGAAACCCATCAAGACCCTCTCCACCCTCGTCGCCGTCGTCCCGAGACTCGTCTCGATCGAGACCACCCCCCAAGCCCCGCGCGCCCACGATCCCGCTCCGCGGGGATGCGCGGGGCTGCGCCGGTTCTCGCCGTCGTTCTCGACGCAGTCGTCGAAGTACCCGGAATACGAAATGCCTTCCGTGACTTGGGGCGTCGTGCAGGGCCGCAAGGAAAAGCTCGTCTCGCGCGTGATAATTTGCGATTACTTGAAGGGGATAGGGGTAATTCCGGATGAATTGGAGAGCCTGGAGCTGCCCTCGACGGTTGAGGTCATGAGGGAGCGCGTCGAGTTCTTGCAGAAGCTGGGGTTGACGGTTGATGATATAAATGAATACCCTCTGATGCTTGGTTGTAGCGTGCGCAAGAATGTGATACCGGTGTTGGGCTATCTCGAGAAGATTGGGATTCAGAGGTCGAGGCTTGGAGAATTCGTGAAGAATTACCCCCAGGTGTTACAAGCCAGTGTGGTTGTTGAGCTAGCTCCGGTTGTGAAGTTTCTCCGAGGACTTGATGTGGAGAGACAAGATATTGGTTATGTTCTGCAGAAATATCCGGAACTATTGGGGTTTAAGCTAGAGGGAACCATGAGTACTTCGGTTGCTTATCTTGTCAGCATCGGAGTTTGCCCTAGAGATATCGGTCCAATGGTTACCCAGTATCCGTATTTCCTGGGGATGAGAGTTGGGACGGTGATTAAGCCACTGGTTGATTACCTGGTTTCTTTGGGTTTGCCGAAGAAAATTGTCGCGAGGATGTTGGAGAAGCGAGCATATATACTTGGCTATGATCTTGAAGAGACTGTTAAACCCAACATTGACTGTTTGATCAGCTTTGGTATAAGAAGGGAATCTCTAGCATCGGTTGTTGCTCAATACCCACAAATTCTTGGGCTTCCTTTGAAAGCTAAATTGTCTTCGCAGCAATACTTTTTCACTTTGAAGCTCAAGATTGAGCCAGAGGGATTTGCTGAAGTAGTAGAGAAGATGCCACAAATAGTTAGCCTTAACCAAAATGTGATCATGAAACCTGTAGAGTTCCTTTTAGGTAGAGGGATACCCTCTGAGGATGTGGCAAAGATGATTGTGAAGTGTCCTCAGTTAGTTGCCTTGCGCGTTGAGCTCATGAAGAACAGTTATTATTTCTTCAAGAGCGATATGGGGAGACCTTTGAAAGAGCTCGTACAGTTTCCTGAATACTTCACTTATGGCTTGGAATCTAGGATCAAACCTAGGTACCAGAGGTTACAAAGCAAGGGAATCAGATCTTCACTGAATTGGTTTCTTAATTGCAGTGACCATAGATTTGAAGAGCGGATGGAGGCTCAATATATTGAAAGAGATTTTGATGGCCCATCTTTTTGTATTGGAGGAAAACTAGAGCTACCAGGGGGTCAGATAGTCTCAGATGAGGAAGCTGAGAGTGATGATGAAGTACTTTACCGAAGAACCGTTTCTCTTTAAAATCTTGTCAGTTGTGACTAAAAAGGATTGTCCCTTTTGAGGTAATTCCTTTTATAACTTGAGATTTTAGATTATCTCTTGTTTGTCTTGCAGTTGAAATTTGAGTATATTTTTGCTGTCCTGCATGTGTCATCCTGCATGTGTCATCGTTTTTAAGATCAGATAATCTGTGCTTAAGCCTTTAACTCTGGTATTTAAAAATTTTTGGAGTAGTGCAGCATTTGGTGTTTTTGCTCTTAGTGTCTTATGTGCTGGTCTATCTTGGCCAGGTGTGCTTCATTATTGTGTTAAGAAATTTCGTGATTTAAGCATTTATTTATACTTGTTTTTCTATTGAATTTTCTATTTTTTTACGAGATATTAAAGTGTGGCTTGACAAATTGCAACTGCACATGCATGCAGGTCAACCAGGTCACCATATATGACGAGGTCTTATGTAATTTTTCGGGGTTCCTTGATGCTTGTGTTTCCAAGAATAACAAGATATTTTTCGTGGCCTGGTTGTTCATGGTATTGACTCGGCTACCAGTGGAATGTTAAGATTCTTTATGGCAGACATGGAAAGTGAAGTTATTTTAGTGTCTATGGCTGGCTGGACAGGAAAACCTGATTAGTGGATTCTCTAAAATGCGATATATGTCATGCTCCTCTTCCACCATCAATTATTTGCCATCTCCTTCCGTACTTTATTCTGGTCTCTCCCAAATTCACGTGAATAGTTCACTTTTGATTCAATCCGTGTTAGAAGTTGAAGATTTCTTAAAATTACTTATTAATTAGTAGCTGTTGTGGTTCAAAATAGTTGGCCCCTCTCATTTCTGCTTTTCTACTGATACCTTTGTAGGGATGATCCCGCCCTCGAGTAATATTCTAGAGATGTCGCTGCAAGTACCTGCTGATTTATGTCTTGTTGAGGATTTTTTGCTGGAGATTGGTCCCAGACTGACTCTGATGAGCTTCTAAGTATGGACGTTAGGCATGATAGGCGAAGCGTGGTTTGATCAAACAAATGGTGGGCAACTGATTTATTGAAAGGGATGGGGTCTGCTGGATTCCTGCAGCCAGAGTTCATATGGAGGTGACTTTTGTACCATCAATACTAGAAGCAAAGAATGGCATGTGCAATTCGGCCCAAACAAGCAGATAAAGGATGAATTTCTGCAGCTACTCTTCTGTTTGAAGAAAGCGAGCTACTTTGGTGTGGATTCCTTGCTGGAACCTGTTGGAAATGATGGATGGAAGGACTCGGAGGTCATGATTTTGGCGGCGTCGTGAGTTCATCAAGAGCTTGAAGTAATGATTGTCTTTTCCGTTTTATTGGTAGGACTGTTGGTGATACTTGTCTGTCAATCATTCTGTGGCATGTTCATAATAAACTCGTGACCTAGGTTGCGTTTGTTCCGTAGAAAACTCAATGATAAAGGACAATATTTTTCGAAAAATTATTTTTCAGGAATACGCTTAGTTTTCTTTTGTTTGGTGATCTACGATGAAAATCATTTTCTGATATTTGAATTTCATTGGAAAATGATTTAAATCTCGTGATTTTATTTTATGAAAAAAAATTAATATTTTTTTTTAAAAAATCGAATTTTTATTATTTTTTATTTTCTTTTTTTGAAAAAATTGAAATATTATTATTATTTTTAAATTTTCTTTTTTCTCTTTTTTATTTCTTTTCTTTCGTTTTCGTTTTCCTCCCCCCCTCCTCCTCCCTCCACCGCGACCGGCCAGCGACAGTCATCGGCAAGCTCGAGGCTTGCCCGGCGATGGCCACAGGCAAGCCGCAAGCTAGCCGGCCTCGACCAAGCCTGAGCTCACTAACCTCGATGAAACTCTGGCTCCCTTGGATCGGCCGAGCCTTGAGCTCGCCGACCTCAACGAAGCTTGGGCTCTCTTGGATCGGCCGAGCCTTGAGTTCGCCGGCCTCGGGCGAGCTCGATGCTCGCAGCCAAAGGCCACCTTAAGCTCACCGGCCGTCGCTGTGGCCGGCGATTGGCCTAAGGAAGAAGAAAAAGTAAAAGGTAGAAAAAGAAAAAAAGAAAAAATAAATGAATAAATAAAAATTCGATTTTTTTAATTAAATAGTTTTATAAAAACAATCACTTCGTTAAGGACCTGAGCCTGAGCGCTGAGGACCTGCTAACGGCTTTTGTGGATTCGGGTCAGAGGGTCAGGACTAGAGCTCGAGTATCAGTTACCCGAGCACGGCCTTTATGGACCCGAGTTTGGGTGTCGGAGCATCGGGTTCGACCACTAGGGGTTCGGGCCCTGGACACTAAGGTCTTGAGCTCGGCCGTCGAGACCTAATCCCGAATGTCGGGACTCGGGAACCAATGTGGGGGTTTTCGTGTTCAAGTGTAGAGTTTCGGGTCCAAACGTCGATAGTTATTCATACTTTGGAAAACGTTTTCCGATTTTTTTAAATGGGAAATCATTTTCTTGAATTTAAGCTTTGGTAAGAAAACATTTTCCGTTGACTAGGAAAACATTTTCGATTGACTTATTTTCCTAAGCAAATCAAACACTGGAAAATGAGGAAAGTGTTTTCCTGAAAATTGTTTTTCGCGAAACATACGTACCCTTACTTCATGTATTAATATGACGAGAGCAATGTTCAAGAGTGCTTCCAGGTACCTGCCTTGTATATGTGAATTTGAGAGTACCTGTAAGCAATTTTGACAATTACAATCAGAACCTGCATGTTCAGGTCCAGGGCTTTCTATTTATTAGCGTCAATTACTTATTCTAGAGTTGGGATGAATGCTTGCCCGATTCCTCCAACATTTTTTGAGATGGCTTCAACATTCATGTGTTTGCCACACCATCGAAAAGATTTTACCATGAGTAACTACCATCATCTCAATCCTCCAACAAGAAGCTGAGCTTTATCCTAACCGATGAGATTCAGAGTCAGCATTTAGAAGACAGAAGCAGCAGAAGCATTGTAACACCATAGGGAGGATCCGCGATTAGTTCAAAAGAGAAAGAGACATGAATTTGGCTAGAGTTGCTTGGTCATGGACCCCCTAGAATTACGAAACTGCGAAAAACAAATAAAATTTCCCATGGCACGAACCATTACGAGCTTAAGCAATACTAAATATGAAAAACCCAACTGACGGTTAAACAATCAACCTCATTATGGTCATTGACTTTCTCACTGTACACATCCTTGCTCGAAGGACGATCGTCATGAGACGTTTGAGGTTACAACTCACAACAGACTGATGCTGCTCTGTCCCAGATCTTCAACCCAAATAATGACTCCTATGATTAGCTAGTCTGGGCTAGTGAAAAACATAACAACCGAAAGTAAGATGGGCTTTATAAGCACTTTTCTCCTAATATTAAAAAAAATGCTAGTTGTGTCATAGGGATATTGTACAGCCTAATTCCTTAGCTGCGGTGTTAAGAAACTGGATAGACATTCCACTTTCAAGTCGGCTATGAGCTTCCCATTTTAGACATTTCTCGATATCTGCTTGCCACTCGATGTCGCCCAAATTAAAGTACTGGTAAGGACCGCGAATCCCATTTCTCTCTCTTAAATTTTGTCTAGAATCAACTGAACCAGTCTGCATGATATCACGAAGAACGGACGTGCTCAAAGCACGAACATGTGCACTTGGATGAGAAAGGCATGTGACGGTAGCTGGTAGACGGCACTGCATGTGTTAGACCAGTCAATCGAGTCAGAAAAGTATCGAGTCTAAACTGGAATGGAATGTTTCTCCAATATTTTGAGAAAAATTGGTTTAATTACTGTTTCTCAGATATGTGGTTGTACATGCAAGACACAAGACAAGAATATGTGCGGCAATTTCATGCTGAGTGCGCTTACAAGTACACAAACATATCTAGGAAGACTCTGGAGTATCATAAAACACATTGCGATTTTTTTTTAGTTTACCTTTAGAAGATTGGAAAGGCCATCTGCAACAACCAACCCAGATTCGCCCCATTCCAGAACCAGTCGTACTGCTCTAGCCGTCACCTCAAGTAACTGCTCAATTTGAGGAGATTAGTCATTACGTACTCGCATAAAACTATAATGACTTAGAATATTTGACCAAAAAATCTTTGAACCTATATGGAGTGAAAAAAAACAGAGCAGGCTAAAAGTGCAAGCATCGCATAAATACGTTGCGCTCCATCATAGGAATCTCTACATACCATTCTATGACAAAAGCAAATGCTTTCCTAGGAGTTACCTCAAGTTGTGGTAAAGTACAAGCTTCTCCATCTACAAGCATACCATCTGTGGCACGAAGAAGCAAATCTGAAGCACTTGCGAGGATCATCAATGATTCTGGTCTCTCGTGGTTTCTCATTAGCTCAACTATCAGTTTAATGACACGCTGGTTGATTCTCCACATCTTCTGACCTTGATCATCATCTTTAGCGATCCATGGTTGCAATTCCCTCTCGGCCTGACAAGCAAACACGGACATAAAGTGACTAAACTGCTGAATTACATGGTATGTATAATCTGATATGCACATACCATACACAAAAATATGTAGGCAAGTATATATGTAGCCTAAGCATATCTAGCAAACTTGTATGATGGAGCTTTGTGGTTGAATGTGTAGCATAACCAGAAAATCTCTCGCATTAAATTGAACAAAGGAAGGTATTTTTTTTTTATTATTAATTTTATCTCACTAACTCAAATATAAATTGTACCCAGAAAAGAATTTTACAGCGTACTTTAGTGCATAAATATTATCTTGATATAATGTACCCCAAGATTTGCAACTATCAATAGAACTAGCGTCTCTGATTAGAAAGTTCACCTAAAAAGTGATGTTTTGATTTCATAATTATTTAAATCAAAGTAGTTAGTATCCTCCACACCAATTATAATATAGTAAAGAGTCACAAAAAAGGATCTGTTGGATCAATTCACATGTTTCATTTCTTCTAATATAAGGATGTGTAATAGTTAATTTCATTACACAACTACTTCATATTGTGAGACAACTGAAAATCACAATCTATTAAACGTGTAAGTTAATCATATCAATTAACATTGAACAACTAGCAACAGCAGAAACATCAGATCAAGCAACATCTTCACAAGTTGAACAAAATTTGTACCTGAAGAACAACGGCTGCAGCTGCTTTTGTTGGTGATGCTGATACGACGTTGCACATAGCATCAACTACCTAACAAATTCAAATATGAAAAAATCAGGGCAGTCTCTGGGATAGACAAGAATAAAAAGCTACATAAACTGATCCAGAATTGGTCGCTGGAGAGTTCCATGGTGTTCTACCATATCATTGGCAATAATATATTTGGCAAGTAGAAAGGTATTTTGAGTTTAATACTAACAGCCAGTGGTTAAACTCAGCTATATTTTTGTGGCTAAATATCCCTTAAACCCCCACCCCAACCCAGTTGTGAGGATCCAACACCGCACCTCCCGGTTTTCCAAATACAACGGTGACCACTATGCCACTGGCATAATGGCAACCAACAACAGTGAGTTATTTATGGAAAGGAGCGAACGGGAGAAACAACTAATAGGAAAATGCTTGCTAGCAAACCATACTAATAATTCAAAATCCATGACAACTCCTTTCACTAAAGCAGAGGGATCCTCGAAGAATAAGAAGTATATCTACATCTGGAGAATCAGCAAATATTTTTCTAGTTTCCTTTGACATAAGGAACATCATGTCTTTGATTTAGGGAATCATATGAAATAGCTAGAAGAATAAGTATTGGCACTATGTATTATGGCCAGCTAGTTTTCTACAATCTTATGGGATCATCTCAGCCTGATGTGTCTAAGTTTTGCTTACAAATGTAATTCCCACTAGGACTAGTTTCAAAGCCATGTAAGAGAAACTTTCTAATTCTACCTGCTATATCTGAAAGAATCTGCAAATGATATATCAAGGACAAACATTCAGTAAGATTCAAGGAATCATGCCTTCATACGTGCCGTCTTAGATCTTATCTCAATCATAGTCACACCAACTTTTCTCAAATATACTCATCTCTAGTCAATATCCACTCTTAAGGGCCTATTTGCTTCTCTCACACTCATCTTGTTTATCTATTTCAATAAACTTCTTCACTTCCTTTATTCTGCTTAGATTAGAATCTCCTCCAACCTCTCCACCTTGAAAATTAGAGCCAATATATCAGAACCGCTCGACCGCCCCCTGGTGCTTTATGGTCCCCAATCTTAGAAAGTGTTTCATTTGAGCATCTTCATTTATCAATGCAACTCCATATATTTCGTTTTTTGACTTATATAAACAAAAATCTTTAGAGTTCCTTCTAATATGCAACTTATTTTTATGTAGAGCAAAACTACTTTAGTCCCCAAGAACCCATTTCATCACTCTTTCAACACAACTAAATACCACATCCTATTGGGAGAGCAGTTTTTCATTTACAGAGGCATTTTTTGAGCAATTATTCATCGAGAAATATTTTTTTTTAATCCATTTTACAAATTCCACCATCTCATTTGTTAGAACTCGCTCCATATAACCATAATCCTCAAATTGATGAGCACCCCTTTCCACATGTACTTTGTCAATCCCCTGCTAGACTTTTAGAATCTCAAGGTTTCTTATGTTGTCTCTATGATCTCCATAATATCTATAAAATAGTAGCCTCTGCAATTGACCATCCAATCACAGATCCAAAAATTAGTAGTGAAACATCATAATATTATTCCTTAACAAACAATCATCTCGTAGAGTATCAGAAGCAACTCATGATGTCTTAAAGCATCAGTAACTTTTGGAAATTCAGATATCAACTTCTTCCTTATCGAAGTTCGACCGCCAGAGCTCCTTTCGTTATAGCAAGGCCTCTTTATTATCCACCATGTACTCCAGAAGTGTGGTATAAGTGATCCAGTTTTTTATTGGGAGTCTCAACAGAAATACGCAATAATATATGAAGCAGTTGGTCCAGATATATAACGTCATTGGTATTATCTTATGGATTAGGAAAACAATGGAAATCAGTAAGTTCTATCAGACAATTTATCTGGAGCTAAAACTAAAAGCATGAAATTTCAGAAACAAGGGACTACCTGTCTCCATCCTTGCTGAGCAGATGTGCTTTCTGCACTTGGTTGCGTTTCAGGAGCAGCAATCAATTTATGCCACAGTAGTGAAACAACAGCAAAACATAACTCCGGTTTTTCTGCAATGATTGATCTTAAAAGAACTTGGGCACTGCAATTAAGTCCTATATGCCTGTCCTTTGTGAGGAAATTGGCCAAATCAGAAGCATCCAAAGGGAAACTGGCAATGCTTTTACCCAGAGGACCTGCAGAAATATCGCTAGAATCCAATGCTTTTCCACAATTCACTGAACTCTTTACTTTGACTGATTCTCCATGCATAGGGACGGATGATTGCCCCAGTTCAAAGCAGCTATTACTTGCATTTGCATAGTTGTTTGTCTTTCTGTCCAAATACAGAAAAGAATCCTTCCAAACAGGGGCGTGCAGTAAATGCGCCTCAAGAGGCTCAGCCTTGTTAACAATGGATGCGACAGCTTTACCATGGATATCAATGAGGTTGTAGAGAGACGAAGCCCTGCTGTGAATTTCACTGTCCCACTTGCATCGCATTAAGACAGAGAGAGCGTGCATGCAAGCCTTTGAACGCCTGAACAGTTCAGAGACATGAGCAGCAACCATAGCTGCAGCAACAATTTCATTTGAACTGTAACTCCATGATGTTCCAACTGACGATGGTTTAAGGGAAAAAAGTGCCTCCAAAATTGCTAATATTCTGTGTGTATGGTGAATAGCTGAGTCGAAACTATTCTGAAGTTCAATAGTAGATCCATTTATCTTAGCAGGCTTGACTAGACCATCCATATTCTTTTTGTTTGAGTGATTACCCCCCCTTGAGATTAAGGGAAACAGCTGCAGCTCACAGGCAAGAGCACATACAGCAGCCAAAACATAAGAATCAAATGCTGCTACAGGCCCTTGTTTTTTCATCTTTCTAACTTTCGTTTCTCTTCTATTTTCTAATGAGACTTGAGAATCCTCAGAGCTTTCATTCCGTACACTGAAAGCCTCACCGGTCGGTCTCTTGCTCCCACTGGATTGAGCTTCATAACTAACACATACAGTCAATACTACAAAAAGAAGGCGAGAAGCTAGTTCTACCGAGGCACAGGATTCTAAAAAGAGTGAGTGAACCATAGTACGAAGCTCAGCAACAGCCAAATTTTTGGACGCTGACCCTAAGGAAGAAAGATGTCGTGTCCGTACAGTTTCCTCTTGGTATGCGTTAGGCGGAAAAGTTCTCTGAAGAATAGCTTCCACTGTAGCAACAAATATCTTCATGAGACATGCTTCTGAAGGACTTCCTCTAGGGAGATATTCCAGGACCTTAAGGAGAGGTATGTAGAGGTTCCATGACAGTATGGGAGGTTGCAATGGCGTTGCCACTACGATTTCTGGAAGATCGACTGCTGAAGAGCTTAGAGGGATCAAGCCATAAGCTGCTTCCCAAATGGTGCAGATTCTCCATTCAACTTCAGGGCCATGCGCACAGAGCATTGACGCAATCCCTTGGGCAGTAGCTTCTATGGTTGCTTCAGCAGCAGGCACTTCTATCTGTTTGAAGTATATCTCAAGCCAACAGTTAGTTCAATAGATCATTCTCTTAAGAAAAATGTAGATGATGAAAGGTAAATGAAACAAATAACAAACATGACTAAAAGGAACAAAAAATTGACATGAGCAACAATCACCTGCTTCTTATAGGATGAGACATAACCACCCAAAGGTTCATGCTGGACTTCAATCCCTTCAACTTGCCTCAATGGAGGGAAAAGCAATGCAGGCTGGGAAAGTACGCGAAACAGAAGAGCAGCAGCAGCATCAGCAGCTACACCTGCTCTCATGGACATCGCAGTTCCAATTGCACGCAGGAAATGCAAATGCATCCAGTTCCTAGGAAGCTACATTAAAAAACACAAATACATAAAAACAAGCAAATCAGAAAAACCAAAAAACACATGTACAACAATGTTCTGTCAATGAATGAAATCAGTTATAACAGAAATCACCTTAGGACGATATATTTCATTTAGATAATTCAGCTATAGAACATTTCAAATAAAAAAATCTGTGTAGATTATTGATTGGAATAAATTTGAGATAAACCACAGATTTCTGTGATAAATTTCCAGTAGATCATATTCATGAAGAGTGAGCTTTCTTCATAGTCCTACATAAGCTTTGAGGAAAATAAGTACTCAAATATGTAAGGAAAAAGAGCCATGCCCACTTGAAAAAGGACCAAATAGCGAGAAGATTCCAAGTATACTTCGTTCAAGCCTTGCTACATGAAGAATTAGCTTTCTGAATAGCCATTTGTAGAATATAGGGGGCATAAAACTTTTTTAATTAACTGAAGGTGTCAGAGGCATGCCTCATTCCAAATAAGTGAACGAGATAAATATTGAACTGAGAAAGGAAAATCACAAACTACCATTAAACAAAGACATCACAATATGATGGGATATCACATGACAAACAAAGCCTAAGATGGTAGGTATCGTACACAAAAGTAGCAGTATCAATAAAAGATAAAGAACTTTGTCCTCCAGAGTAAACAGCGAATTGGAGAACTATGGGCTTCTACTTACTATCATCAGTTAATTAGGAATCTAATGATATCTCAAGATGAAATCCATGGTTCTTAGATAGCCACAACAAAGCATTTGCAATGCAGCCTGCTATCACTGTTAACAAATTGGACGAATATAAAGATCCATGCTCTTCTACTAACCTCATGCCCCTCAATAAAATATCATCTATTCATGGACATGGCCGGGTTAAAGCATCTGTACCACAGATAGATATCAGGATGAATAAGAGTTTCCTGCAACTTTTAAATGTCCACAAGTTTTTGCTTGTAGTCCTAATCCAGATTCATATACCAAGCTTGAACTTCACAAGCTCCTACTAAAGCAGCATTGTAGTGGAATGCCATAGAACAATAAGCTTTTATGGAAATATCCCATCACATCAAACACATCAATTCCAACTCTATATCAAACATACCCTCATTCCAGATGCGTACTCCTCGGCTGCACGAAGAAGTTCCACAAGTTGGACAGCAGCATCAAGTGCATCAGGTGCCCATGATGGAGGTGCCTCCAGAAGTCCCAGAAGAAGTCTTTGTGTAGCACTTGGCGTAGCAATTGCATAATATCTAACATTTGAAAATTTAAGGAAAAACAGATATATAAATAATTCAACAAAACAGGAAAAACAGAATCCTTATTAAAGACTTTGGTTGCGAAAGCTACCTATGAAATAAACGTGCATATGGCTCAAGGGCCGGTAAGCCAGCAACTAGATGCTCATCTAGAGCTGTAGTGGGAGGAGGGAGTAATAGTGCAGGTACTGCAACTGCTGTTAAAGTAGCAGTTTCGTAGCGAGCAACTTCCTCATCACAAACGCTCAATATCACACCTGCACCATTTGCAACTGCCCACCTTGGGGTCGATGGCATGAGTTGAGGGTGCTTTCCAGATCCTCGAGAAGTAGCTAATGATAGAAACCAAGTCAGATTATTTTTATAATGTTGTATGCTACACTTGACTAAATAAAAGCAAGATTTACTCGGGCAAATCCACCATTAGCTAGCTAAAATGAACTGATCAGAAACAAGCAGAAGACGCGTAAGTTCTTAATATGAACATAGTGTTACAGTAGGTACTGGAAATTATTGTTTCTGTTACAAATATCCATCGCCCTCTGCTCGTTCTTATCCAATTACGTAGGAACCTCTACATCAAGCAGAAAGAGGGTTAACAGCCATAAAGTGGGACAGCGCTGCACAAAGTTTGATGCGTTCAGCGTCTTTGCTTGTGATCAGCTCTGTGTCCCTCATTATGTGCAGTTGTGCACACCCGAGCATCAGAGAGAGAGAGAGAGGTCATGCGAAAGTCTACTTCATTGAGCCAACTAAATAGCACACTCTAGATCAAGAATAGACCTTCTAAGCAAGCTGTATCTCACAAAATGGGGTCCTCTATATAAATCCTACTTTGCCAAACTGATAAAATGATAGATCCAAATTTTCTTTTGGTTTCGTTCAAATTATCAGTCTTAATTTGTTGCTTTGTTGAAATATTGCTTCCTTTAGTTGTCGCATCAACTACAATTGTCCTTGATTCTCTTACTTTTCCTCAGTTACCCCTCTAATCTCCAAATTTTCTTGCAAATTAGTACCCAATCTAAATAAATGCTAGCACTGCACCTCTAACTTCTTTAAAATGTCTTCAGTTCTTTCATTTGTATCTGATTCAGAAATAGGTTGCAAGTACAGCTATCTCACTCTTTTCAGCATGTCAAAGACAAGTTCTTTACATATTCGGTCGTACTAGAAAGCAGGTCTCCCTACCATGGATTTGCCATGTAGTAAAAGCTATCATATATTACAATTTTGCAATGGACAAGACATTGCGCCATGAGCAATTATGAATTTTTTTTTTGCAAATTTTGCCCAACACTCTGATTCCTAGTGCCAGCTCTTCCAGGGTAGTAAAAGCTTGATTTTCTTGACGCTTACGGTGAGAGCAGACTAATTTTAGTATTCAGCATTAAAAATCAATTTTGGAATGGACAAAGATCTTGCGCCACGAGCAGTTATGAAATCTTTTTGCAAATTTTGCCCAACACTGTAATTCCTAGTCCCAGCTCTTCCAGGGTAGTAACAAAAAGCTTTAAGAGCTCGATTTTCTTGACGCTTACAGTGAGGGTGGACTAACTTTAGTCTTCAGCATTAAAACTCAAAATCGGACAATACAAATCAAAAGTTGGACAGAATTGTAATACAGCTATAAAGGTATATTTGGAATTTATGGATGTTATGCCCGGTTGTCTATCTGCAAGAAGCAAAATATCCAAGAGATAATTGCAGATCTCAAGGGATAAAGGGGTGATGATTTCAAATATTCGCTTATTAACCTTGATTCAGTTTCAAATCTGACTTCCACTTCATTAATTATCAGCTTTATTGAGAGTTAACATGCGGGATACAATTTCAAGGTTTTCAGCTGGATCACTTACTATCCTTGATAAATATCCTGTGGTAAGCATGCACGAGACAAAGGAATATTCACTAGCAATCTGATTCCAACATAGGAGTACAATAATAGTTGATCAGATTTCACCGCTTGGGCAACTTACCCAGGTATTCACTGAACTTTTGGGTTTTATTGGTGTCACTTGACTTCAATTTCAATTTGATTCACCAAATACACTGAACTTTGATTTACTTTCAATTGAAGCACTTTGGCTTTTTCTACTGACATTCCGGTGAACTGTTGATGGTCTGCCTATGTGGCAACAAAAGCCACATATAAGGATACGTCGCGCTGATATAGCATCAAATTGGTGCCACATCAGCACTAACCCCCCAAAAATTATTAAAAAATGCTGATGTAGCATCCAATTGGCATCACTCCGCAATAACCCCTCCACAATTTAAAAAAAAAAGGAAATGAAAACAGAAAAACGCCTAGCGGCTCCTCCCTCCTACCTCTCCACCCGCCTCTATAGTTCTTGCCCCTTTTTTCCTTCCCTTTTTTCCCTTTTGAAGTTTAAGGTTGCTGTGATGCCACTCAGACACATTAACTCCATGTGTCTTTTTTTTGGCAGTATTTTTGCCACATAAGACAACACAACACCGCTTCAACAGAAAATTAAATGGAAAACCAGTCAAAGTGCATCAACTGGAAGTAAATCAAAGTTCAATGTGTCGGGTAAATAAAACTGAGGTTCAGTAACCTCCATGAAGGCAAACCCAGGTTAGTAACCACAAGCGAAAGTTACCTAAAAGTAAAAAACAGCAATATGGCATCCAACATCCTAATGACAAATGTGCCCAAACCATGTTTAAGTTTGGACAAGCCCTTTCTCTCTGCAAATTCTCGAAAACTTAGTCCATCACACCAGCTAATTAGGTTCCCCCGCACTAAGTTATAGAAAACAAAAAAAATCTCCGAAAAGCATACTACCTACATGATTATGTACTATCATTTGGTACATTGGAGTGCATTGCGCTCCACAAACTGAGTGCAACAGCACATTATATAAACCAAAAATAAAATTACTCACAAGTTATAGGAGGCTTAAGTTCTCCGGCTGCATACTTTCCCATAACACCACCACACCTGTAATCATATGAAACAAATTATTAGTTCTGCAGAAAGGATGTTCTTGGTACATTACATTTCTGCTACAAGACTTTTTTCTGTGTATGCACGGGGTGGGTAGGAAGAAAAGGGTTGGGGTTGAGGGCTACACCAAAACAAGATATTGGCCATTATAACACCAAATTGGGCCAGGGAATTTGTCAAAACAACTGGATACAATGCCAAAGAAAGGAGGTGAATAACATGCATGAGTTGTCCAACAGTGAAGACTTGCTGCCTAGTGATATATGATGTGACAGATGGCCTTGGGAACTGTTCATCACATGAATGATGTATGGAAAAGTGCACCTAGTCTTGGTGAATCTATTATTTTTAATTGAATTCCTTTCTTATTCGTCTTTGGTGATCTTGCGTTTGTATTGTGCCTAGCCTTGGTGAACTCTCTCTCTCTCTCTCTCTCTCTCTCTCGCGTACATTCCCCATGTCCCGAATATGATTTCCAGTTAAAGTCCTCTTATTTATGAAAAACAAAGCAACGTGTTGTCACAAGTTCTGTGATACGGTAGAGGATTGTCTACGAGAGACAGTGTACACACCATCGGAAGTAGTCACTTCTGATTCCAAGAGGAGCGGCAAGCAATATATCAGTAATCCATGGAGATAGAGGCCTTATAGGTCTCCTTTCCTGCTGAACCATAGGAACAGAGTCTCCCTCTGTAGATTTGCTCGTTGAGGCACTGCTGCAGCTATTGCTTCTGTCTGGTTCACCATTCTGATGTTCCGTCTTATATATCGGACGATTGTAGAGGGTCAACATTCTCAAAATCTCCCCACATGCCAGAGCCCACTGCTCAGAGTACTCCTTCTGTGGTGAAAAGGAGAAATGTAGCATTCAGAACTACTATAATTTGTAAAATCCAATCCAGAGACTTATGAACTTTACGAAGCAGACCAATGAAACAACCTATAGTTTCATAAAACTAAAGATCGAGAACGATTAATGCTGGCCCATAAAAGAAAGAAAATGAAGCGTGCAAGAATATTTACTATGGTATCATACCTCACTGCTTGGACAAACCAAAGAAATGAAAGATGCAAATGGAGGCTCATCCCTATCATACACCAGTGTACCATCAATAATGCAGGAGATTATCGGAAGAACAACAGCGTGACCATGTTCTGGATGGTGAAGAACAAATGTGGCTGGCAATCATTTCAAAGAAAAAACCAACATCAAAATTTCTATCAAAAGAGTAAATGATAACTATTTAATGCTTAATGGTTGTAGTGGTTACTACACAAACAAACTTATAAAGCATCCATACCCAACACATCGTCGAACAGGCACTTTTCTTTCGATGGATAACGGCTTCGGATAAGCTGTTGCAACAATACACGTCAGTTAGCAAGATCAATTAATTCTAAATAAGCGTAAAATGTGAATACAACATAATCAGTACGGTAAGGGATATATCTTATCTCAAAAATTAAGGAGCCTGTTAGAGGTAAAGCAGACAAGGGCATACCTCAGCAATATCATCTGGAAATTGTTCCGACGTGAACTGACCAAATAGCTCAACATAAGCATTAACCTGAGCCTGCAAACAAGGATGCACAACAGTTGACTGGGGAAAGATAGCCAAGAAGAATAGACAATAATTAACAAACTAGTACATTACTTTCGGATAAGCTAGAAGAAAACCAAGTTTGACGCTGAATGTTTTTACGGGCTAGTGTTAAGTATCATTTTAAAATTAATATGCAGCACTGCCAGCAATGGATTTACATGTAGAAACAGTGCAGTTGCCTCTGCTGCTATCTACAGTAAGTCATAGTCTAGTGTTACACTTTTAAAATGTCTAAAATGCCCTTACCATGGTTGATCACTGTAACGATTATTAACAAGTCAGATCCAGCTAAATGATTGACGGACCTCATTGTAACAGGGTTAGATGAGATTAACTCCTCTGAGGCATGAATCCAGCAAGACAGACAACTGGGATTAGACCCTCAAAACATGTCGTGGACATTTCAGGACAGAGCTGATTAGGACTCACTAACATGTAAGAGATTGAGGCCAGATCCTTGGAACACATTTATTTTTTGACATGTAACTTCCGTTCATGCAAGGGACCATACAATCCTCCAGTAATTAAGCACACATGCAGTTGCTCCAAGGTTATGTCGAGTCAGTTATGAAAAGATAAGCTGCCCATGTCTAGGGGCATAGAAAGAGTCTGTTCGACTTGTACATGTACTATTAGGTGATGTAGCCCACGTATCCAGTGCTTTAAGCTTCTCATCTATTGCCTATAGAACTTACTCCGACGGAACAAAACAAGGAAATCTCGAGATATCTCGCACCTTCTTTTGCAGTATGTCCTGTGGAGGAGGCCAGAATAGCGAAGAATACTGGAGGCCATCAATCCACCTCTCCCTCGCAGCCATTAGAAGCTCGCGAGCGTCGAAGGAAACCAACTACCCCTCAACCGCAGGAGATGGCACGAAAGTGAACCAGTGCAAAAACTATCCAACTTCAATTCGCGGGCTACCAGCCGGGAATCAAGATATCTTAATTCAACATCCCCGATCGAGGGTAGAACGGTCAGCCGCGAAGAACACCGGCGAACGAGCTATTCGGCAAAGATGAACCTCCAACAACTCCAGATGATTTACTGATATCCCCACGGTGTGTATGTGGGTCTCCGCTCCGAGTCTCCAAAATTCAAACTTTCAGCTCTTGGTAGCTAGCGACCACCGAAACCAAACCAAACCAAACACAAAAAGTTCCTGCAGAAAAAGGCCACAGTCAAAATCATCACAAGTTCGGCCGGAAGTAATCCAAAACAAAACGCGAGGAGCACAGCTAAATCCACGGCCATCGCGGCCGAGAGAAGCCAATACAGAGTCAACAAGATCGGCACAGGCGGAGCCAACAAATTCCCGTTTCGGCCCGACCATCCAAAATCGCCAGAAATTTCTTTCCTTTTTCATATATTTTCTTCTCTTTCGCTCGCTCACGAATTCCTCGCACCCCCCAAACCAGAAGGACATCTCCACCCAAAATCGGAAATTTCCCGGCTCAAAATCCCCCGACAACACTCGAAACACGTAGGACGACAACAGCACGACCCCCCAAAGACAAAAGAAGAAGAAGAAGAAGAGGTTGAACAGGCCACAGCATCAACTGACCTTTGCAATCTCGCGCGTTGCTCGCTCCAGGAAAGATTCTTCTTCAGGGGAAGGAGGAAGGCGCACACTTCACCCGGAATTCCTGCACCGTACAGTGAGAGCGGCGATCGAAATCTTCATCATCATCAGGAGGAAGGAAGGAAGGAAGAGGAGGGAGGAGGAAGGGCTAAGTGAAGTTTTTTCTGGTGGTGAAGAGAGCGAGAGCGAGAGAGAGGCAGAGAAGAGAGAGGGGAGAGAGGGTTAGAGAGAGAAGATCTTTTTCCAAGCTTGTGGAGCTCGAGATCGCTGCGAACGTGGCAAAGGATATTTTCCTCTCGCGTGAGAGGCCGAGCGCCACGTCATGTCAGCTCATGCCCCCATGACATGTGCATGTGCATGTGCATGTGCATGTCCTAACACCCCCATGATCCCCCACCCCCATTCGGTCGCCTTCCTTTTTTCTTTTTTTTTCGCTCATCTTCTCTTGTTCATGATTCCATGTATTACTTAATAAAATAAATGAGCTAAAGATTATTTATCGTCCATTAAATTAGTTAGACATAAATTATTATCGATAGCAAAAATATTTTTCGTTAATTATTTTTTCACGGAAGAGATAGGATCCTTAAATGATCGAGTAAATTATATGACTTGGAAAAATCGAACGGCCACGGTACCTTATATCCAATGCAAAGGGAGACCGAGCCGTCGAAGGGTTGAATTTTTTTTTTGCCTTCCTCTTTTTAGAACAAACTGTTATCCTTAATTTGTGCTCCCGACTTTCGAGGCTCCGAAACGATCAGAATATCTCAAATTTGCGATACGTGTCGAGCGCTTAGAGGGGGGGCAGAATAAAGTTAAAAAGACTGACTTAGACGAGCACTAATGTTGAATCATTCGCGTATTTAAATCGCGCAATTAGGGGAGGTCAAATGGTTGTCATGGTTGGGAACATGATGGCAACCCGAGAAATTATAAAACTAAGAAACGCAAAAACCAAAGTAAAAGGAGGGCGAGGCGACGCGGATATAATAATGATAGTTTTGTCGACTACTGTGCTAGATATTTTGGTTGAGGTTTCGCGGTTCGATTGGGTATGTCCACCCTCGTGCAGTGTTTTTTGTGTTTTTTTATTTTTTTATTTTTTTGGACCAAAATCGAATTGAGGGTTTGGCAACTTGGGCAACTCCCCACTAGTTGCAGGCCCAAGTTGCGGTTGGCCACATCGTTTTCCTTTTCGGAAATTGATTGAAAGTCGACGGCACGCGGCAATCCATTTGTTGCTGAGCAGATAGATACTTGGTGGTCAAAGGTTTTCAATAAATAAAAAAACACAAAAAAAAATGTGACTATTCGTATGGATTGCGATGGACGAGGTGGGGGGCACGTACCCTTGTTTCGCCGGTGTTTACCTCGACGGCGGCGAAAGACCTTTCGCCGAAGAGTCCTTCTCAAAGGAGACAAGTTCCGTCGCGAATCTACACATGGAATATCACGGTTACACAAGAAAATCGATAGATGTGCTGGAATTTGATCGACGTTAAAATACACGAGACGGAAATACAACATCGGAATATAATCGGCGACGAAGCATATGGAAACTAGGGCGAAGGTATAGGCCGGAATTTAATCGACGGCGAAATATTTCAAAGCTACAGCTAAGATATACATCGAAATTTAATTGAGGACAAGATATCTTGGAAACTATAGCTATGACTATGGTATGACTATGGTACGGGAATTGAAAACGTGATTTGTTTGTTTTTGGGCAGGGGTTTCTACAATACAAAGACGACACTAGTATTTATAGTGTTCACAGCCTTCATCCTACCTACAGTTACAAAAAATTACAACAACACTTATTCACAAGAAGCTCAAAGAGCATTTGCATGGCATTGTTGATGTCGATGAGTTCATCTGAGATAATTAACGTTTGCTGTCGATAACTTTCTTGATCGTCGATACTCTTCAAGTTGTCGACATTTATCTAAAGGTACTTAAATTTTCGAAAATATCATTACTCATCAAATTGCTAACTATTCTTTTCATCAAATTCTGCCCTTATCGATTAAGTTCATCACTTGTTTATAGTAACTAAAAGTTGGTCATTATTTTGTGTAAACAATCTATGGTTTACTTTTTATAAGACCAAGATGGTGGAAAATGCTCTAATTCGTTTATGAAGAAGTTTGTACATCCATTAGTAAGTAATTGTTATGCATGGTTGTCGCATAGCCATCGAGAAGGATGGAGCGGCCCTTCTCGACGAGAAGCAAGGGTGGCCGCATTGTCGCCCGAATAGACCCCGAACTTGAAGAAAGGGATGGAGATATGCGCATGCGACCTAGATTTTTGCGACTCTTAAGTTGTTTGACTTAGATTAGCACCGTTGGCACTAATAGCAAGCCTGAGCCTTGCGACTCAAAACTGCTCTGCTGCCTTTCGACGGCGGTGGCGAGTCCCCGTTGCACAATTAGATCTATACCGCCATCGAAGCCACCATCGATGGCGGCACACAATAACCTAATGCTCCGTCCTCTGATCACAACTACCGAGAATTTTTTAACGACCATCGCCACTTCGCTTCCATCTCAAGACGCAGGGACGCGATTTAGAAAGAAAAAGAAAAAAAGAAGACAATCTATTTCTAAGCGCAAAAGGCGCATTTCCATAATATCAATAAAATGAAACACGGCCAAATAATTTATCCCTCAATTACAATTACGAACTATTCATTCATTATAAATTCAAAATTCGATAAAAATAAATAAACGAAAAAAAAATCGAAAAAGCAACTCGTGCTTGGACGCGAGATACAAGCCAGCCACAGCAAAATTCGGATTCATCTCGCTGCCCGAAAAGGACGCGGCCCGCCCTGCGACCGCCACGTGGTCGCGTTAGGTGGTTGGAACCGAACGGGCAGCGCGGGGGGGGGGGGGGGGACTCGCGGGCAGGTGGGGGCACAAATATCTCGCTGCCCGAACGCGCGTACCCCCCCACCACGATTAGATATTTCCCCGACCAATGAGAGGCGAGCTCTTGATATATTCCCGAGATATCGCCCATCACACACGTGGCGCGCCCTCGCGCGAGATTTATATCCCGCGCGCTCTCGACCGTCCGATCCCTGCCTGCCCCCCCCCCCCGCCCCGCTCCTCTCCTCCTCCTCCTTCTTCTTCTTCTTCTTCCACCACTTGCCCCTTCGCCCTCCCGTCCCGTGATGCGGGGTGGGCCCCCACCGCCCCCCGAAAACCAATCAACAACCGCGCCCCCCATCCCCCGTGTCGTGGGGCCCGCGGCGGATGGATGATGATGGACGACGACGACGACGACGACGCGCATGCCCATGGCCATGCAATCCGAGGAATGCCGTGTCCGGGATGACCACCGCCCATTTCTGAAAAAAATCTTATCTTCAAATTTTCAGTACCGCGGGGTGCAACTTGGGGAAAGGAAAACCAAAGTGACATCCACTGAAGTCCCTCCCAAGTGACCACGCCACCATCCCACGATATATCCCCCAATCATATGAATTAGGAAAAATGACACAAATAGTCCTTGAACTTTGACTCAATATGTAATTTGATCCCTGAACTTTTAATTTGTTCAATGTAGTTCCTGAACTTTAACCTAATGTTCAATTTGATCCATGAACTTTTGATTTGTTCAATGTGGTCCCTGAACTTTTAATATGTGTTCAATTTAGTCCCTGAACTATTGCACATTGGATCAAAGTCAAAGTTCAGGGACTATTTGTGTCATTTTCCCTATGAATTAAGGTGCTAGCGATTTTCGGTTGAGGAAAAATATTTTTCCGAAATCATTCGTTTCCCCGCGGAACAAACGAACCCATTTCTAGGTATTTTTATCGGCGCTCTCTATAATTTCGAGTTTGTCCTTGCTAAATACGGCGAAATCAAATTGTACGGCAGCACGGAAGCGACGAAATAAAATAAAAAAATAAATCGATCGAATTCATACTATGAGGGGAGCCCTCGATGGTTCGTGATCCTTACGGAAGAATTGAATTTGTGCACAGTCAGTTGGATTGTTCCGAAAGAAAATCATAAAGGTGCTCGTGAAAATTTCGGAGCGATTGGCATCATGTCCTATCACCAACACAAAAGCTAAAGTTTATTTATTTATTTTGAGGTGGCTGCAATCGAGTCCTAAAAATTTATCGCGAAAGTGTAATCGAGTCTTAAAAATTTCAAAAAGCGCAATCGAATTCTAAAACTTGTCAGCATTTTCCTTTTGTCAAGTCGAACGGAGTTAATAAAAGGACTCAATTGTACTTTTATAATAAATTTTAGAACTTTCGGTACATATCAAATTACTGTAGGGACACGTGGTTTGCACTAGCAGCGGAATGTATTGGAGGCTCGGGTAAAGAGTATGTCAAAAATTGAGCAATTTAGAACCAAAGAAAGAGGAGCTGACATTGATGAATAGAACAAAACACACTTGGTGGGAGAAAAGTCAAACGGTGAGGTGGTAGTCGGTTTAGCACTCATGAATATAAAAAATTGGAGGAAAAGTCAATTGGAACTCATTCTCCGTCGGTGGTGGTGATGATGATGATGATAGTAGCAGGTGGGCCAAATTAATTTCCACTAAAAAAATTTTATACGAAAGCGAACGGTAATACTAACCACGCGTTTAGTTGAGCGAAAAAAAATTTTGCGAATTAATTTTTTGGGTTGTAAATCAATTTGGTTTGCTGCGAATAATCGATCTACAGAAAATCATTTAAGGTCAAAGAAAATATTCGTGTTTTGAAGTTACAAAAACAAGTTTCCTAACCTGAAAAGGAGAAGCATTTTCCTCTATAATGAAGATTTCCTCGAAACAAGCATGCCTTGAAATATCCGTGCGAGTTTTGATTCGCTGTCTTGTCTAATCATGAAATTATTGAAGTGTTTTATTGATCGGAATTTACCTATATGTGACCGGCTTACTCGTTGTAAGAAATAAGAGAAAACTGAATTTCTAAATTATAAAAATCGTATATCGGCACTCAAATGATGCATTTATTTTCAAACCAATTTTCATATGAGAAAAATCAACAAACCGATGCCTCTATCCAAATCTTAATTCCATTAGCATTCTAAAGCAAGTGCGCGTCAACACAGATGGCTAAGAATTGTAAGACGGATTCAACGTGGATAGCAACAGTTCGGACGTGGAAAACCCATATGTGTTGACACGCATGTGTCACAGGCCGTGATTATAATCGTACTTTCGTAACCTTTTGAGTGGATCTTGGTGGCGTCGGGATGACAGTGAGTGATGCAGAGGGGATGATACAACTGATTCGTAAGAATGACGTTAGGTGATTTGTTCTAAGAGTTATAAGTTAAAATGAATATGCCCTTAGGAGCTCTGAAGACGGGGTTGGTCTTCCGTGCACAAACTAGTCGGAAGCTTCTGATGAGGTCATAGCAGGCCGAAACTAGTTATTGTGCCTAAAGTGATTTGTATGTCTCGCTCGAGGAACTAGATACCCGAGCTAAGTTGGGTGTGATACGATCCGATACTAAAATGCTATTCGCCATATTATTCTTCGGAATAATTATGTAAGAAAGGCTGGTCTAGTTCTGCTATCAAGAAACTGTAGACCCGTGACACATGCATCTCATTTACAGATAAAATGTCAATAAAGGGAAAACTTAAGTCAGGGACGTCGATTCAGGAATATTTTACGAGACGAGAATCGACTGGGACGGACGCGTCGCGGGCTTATTGGGTGTTGAGCGGCACGAACACGTAGAAAAGCTATAAAATACAGTGAAGTGACTGTAAAGACAAAGCACATGTGTCAGCACGAGATGGCCATTCGGAAAAAATGGGCCACCACCAGGCACCATGATTGAGCTGCATCGGCCAATTGTAGGCCTTTGAATTGCTATGGTCGGTCGGGAGGAAAGCTACGCGAACCCCCCCTCTTAATTTAATCCAACTTCCAATCGCTGTCTTAACTTTGATTTTAGGAAACAAGGGGACGAAACTCAACAGAAGCAGCGATGCGCTCTCTCCCTCTCTGAACACATCAAACCACGTTTTCACTTTGGAAAACCAACGGCAGAAGCCGGGATACCGACCGCTCGGATGGAGATTGCAAAGTAAGCGTCTTCACTTAAAATCTTAGGCCAATAAATTTCGTACCAGCTAGAATATATTAACCGTTTCATATCGCAGAAATTTTCCAATGCGGGCTAGCCCGCTTCTAAGTTGCTTTACTGCTTGACCATGGAATTAATCGACTTCCGTTTTAGGTCGCATTTCGGTTTGGCTGCAGTTAGTATCTGCAATTTAGGCCAAGTCTCAGTTGAGAATTGCAGGTGTTACGTGTTAGGTGGCAACCACTTCTCGTCTCCCTACAAATTGAGCCGTACCATCCATCTAACTTTAACACATTTTCAGAAGAACGACATGGAAGAGCAGCCATAAGCTTCGCGCGTTGTTCGCATATCGTCCCTCTGTTTGCTGAGCAATTATTTCCTGTCTACCGCGCGAAGAAGGGCTGCCTCCGGAGCACGGGAAACCGGAATGGAAGAATAGATAGTTGAGACATTTTCTCATAATTCCCACGATATCCACGTTCATTGGTTGCCCCAATTTCACCGAACACGGCGCGCCGTGCTGTAAAATTTTTCTCGGGCCTGCTGGGCAGAAAGTTCCGGCATGGGAAGGGTACATATCGATAGGAAGAGCTTTAGGGCCTATCATGATTGTCTTAAAAGCGTACGAGCTCGCTCAATCGACGATCGATGTTAAGGAATCATCGAAATGTTTCACCATTCATGTGCTTTCAAGAGAATCAAGAAACCAAATGCATCGTGTCTCTCGTTCATGTCTAGCCATGTGCGTCTAAGAGTTATGGCTTTACTGCATGCGTGAGCGTGACCAGTGCGAGAGCGGCGAGACAGTAAAAGCTGCTGAGAATGTGATGAAGTGACTGAACTTTTCCACACTCCGTTGCAACTTGTAAGCTCATCCCACATCACGAATCAGTGTAGCTGAACAGCACAAGATCATCAATTCAGCATGGCATGAGAGGGGAAACAATGCGTGTGTTATATCAACATTCTCCAAAAAAAGCTGCTTTCTGAGTGCGATCACGTATAGACGCTACAGTAAATCATGTACAGACCCAACATACTTCACACCGAATTTTGCTGAACCTACTTCACAAGCCTCTCTTCCTATAGTATTTACACGGTAAAACTGCGATGTACAGAATCATCGACAGTAACGCAGACCAATGAACGAATGAAAACCGTGGTAGCAATACCAAAAATCCATGTAAGTTGTGGAAGCTGTCAAATTCTTGCCTCTCCTTTCATGATATCTCATCCTCTAGAGCTCCCAACTAGGCGTCTCCTACATCAACCCCTCTTAAAAACACAGAATGTGGGAAAAACGATTACAGCAGCCCATTGACGGTCGCTTCACGTTCCACTGGAGTGACTCTAAATGGAAACTGGAGTGTCACAAAACATGCGATCCATTCACCTATTTGATCATTAAGGGTCCTGTTCAAGCACAAAGCCCATGTTTCCCGCAAATTCGTCATTTTCAATTTCTGCATCAGTGAAAGTGAGGGCACGCTGCAATTTCTTTGAAGAAAACACCTCAACCTCTGCCATGTACATGGCAGCCACGGGTCGATGATCAGAGAGTTTTATTTCAGCTCTCCTATAGCCAAGCTGCCTCATTCCTCTGCCGTACGAAAGAATGCGATCACACCTGAAAGGGCAATTCGGGCTTTAAGTAATTGAGCATAATCAACACCAGAAAACAAGTTCAGCAAGATCATGTCATGCTGAACAGTTGAGCTCAAGTGGAAGTGCCAGGAAAAAGAAAATAATGTAAAATCAATATATGTCCGACAGCTGCTTTATGCATTTCAATGCACGCCACAACATTGCAGAGGTGAACATATGAACAGATAGGTACTCCATAGATCAAGATATATCTGATAGCTACTGTTGCAAATCAGAGAATCTAGATTGTGAATAGATAAGATCTATTGAGTGTGGCATGCAACTAACACATCATAAAACAAGTTTGGAGTTGTGCATGCGAAAAATACACGCTTTCATGTATTCAAATTTCCATGCGGTAGAACTTCAGTAAAATCATGCCACTCTGTTATTCAACATCAATGCCATACATCTAAGTATCCTCACTGCTACAATGCCATGATACAAGAGACGCCACGTATTCTCAAAGCAACGTTTCCTAGGGATCTTCATTTTGAATGCATATTTGCAATTGGCAGAAAACTAGGGCTCTTAAGGATACCAAAGAGTAAAGCTCTTCACATCACCAACTACTTGAGATTTCATGGCGCCAGAGTCAATGCTAGTATAGTAAGCTATACTAAAATTTGCCATGGAAGCAGGGAAAAGAATGGTTGTAATAGACGGGGATGCATCACTCAACTAATATGAAACAAACATTAATCTCATTTGGCCACTGGGAAGCATAAGCATACCACGCTGGAGTACGTCTTCCAAACTTGGGATCCTCTCCGAAATACTTCTCTGAATTATTTTCATACTTGTATGTGGGTGGGAAATTCAAAGTAGCCTCGGACCACCCACCAAAAGTGTGGCCTTTTCTTAGCTCTTGTACAAGCTGTTGAAAGGTTACGGCACTAGTCAGCCGGGGTCATATAAAATCAAGTTCAATTTGGTGTTCTAAGATAAAGCTGCGATGAGAGAAAAGCAAAAGCATCCCACCCAGATACGGGTTGCCCTTTGGTCGCATTCATTCACAGAAAGCCATAGAAAAAGATGCTAATCCTAGGAAAATTGGCTCATGTGGAGCATAATTCAAACAAATTGTACAAAACAATCTTCCAGACCGTAAATCCTAACATATACAGCATGACACCATCTTGCATACACAAACTTGCTTTAGCAGCTAAAATGTCCTGAAGTAGACAAGTCCTACTAAAAAGATCTTGTAACTAGATTGCCATTATTAATCCTACAAGGTGGGTTCTGTAAACAGCTAAGTTCACAAATAGAATGGATTGACCCTCAAAACCATTGCTAACGCGGAAAATAAAAGATTGTAGTATGTCTACCTGATCTCTCTCGAGCAATTTAGACCACTCCTTTCTTGAGATGAGTTCTCTTGTTTTCTCATATGACAAGTTGATCCGGTAGTTCAAGTCACCTAACCAAATAATTTTTCTGCAGGGAACATAAATTTAGGTCAATCTTCCTGAAAGTAGAAAAATACGAATGTTAAAACATTCTGTAAACTCTTTTCAATAGGTCAATAAGGTAGATTCTTAGATTAAACATGACAGGCACATAACTCCAACCATGAGAGCACAACCATTATGCATCACTCCATCAGATGTGTTTGATCCTATTTTCCATCCGGCAATTACAAGGTAACTATAGAAAAAGGTCCTTTATCTCTACATCCAATTATGATATCAAACAGACAAAATCTAATATGTGGACGAAGCGACTAAGATCTGAACGTTTCATTGGGTAAAGCCAAAATAATGGTTTCAAAGTCTTTACTAAAACTGCATAACCTGAATTTTTTAGATCCATCCAACTCCTCAATGTCATTAGATGTGTCAGCGGCCAAACAACGATTCAAGTTATATCAATTGATACCAAATTATCTGCAGCTACCTAAAGCATTACAAGGGTAACACAATAAACAACTATGACTCTAATGTTCGTGTTTTCCAGATATAATGAACTAAAAATCACAATCTCATTCATGCTGTCAAGGTAATCACGTTTTCTTTCAAACAACAAAATTCTGCATACTTTAGGATGCAGCAGCTAGTAGTGTGTGCCTTTGAAAAGGTTGTGCCAACATTCTACCTGATATATAACCAAACAGTTGAATGTGTCTTCAGTCATACAAATTAGATACAAGTTGTTCATGGAACGGATGGCAACAGAACCCCACGAGAGAAAGGGAAAACCACAGAGAGGTATACCCAGGCGCTAGCAATGTCAGTAATAGTATTACATAGACCCAAGGTAGTTTTGTCTATCAGATGGCAACATTTCGTTCTGTCTAAATGAGTACATGGAAGGATCAGACAACTGATAGTTTTATTCCAAAGTTGAAGTGAGATGGAAACCAAAAAACAATAAAACATATTTATGAGCTGAAGTGAAATGGAATGAAAATACTAATGGAAAATATATATGTACCAAGTCTTAGAACTCACTCATGGTCGAGAATACTTTTGGGAAGTCCAATTCCAGAACGAAAGTGAGTTCTACGATGTATTTCATGCACATCAGCATTCCTCTTTACTTCATCTCCATCTTTTTCTCCCGAGGTAAGGTGAGTGCAAATAAAGCAGAAAAGCGTCTGATATATGGACATACTGACTGATACTGATCCCTGAAAGAATCAAGTTTCCAAATGTTTCTGATTATTAGAAGGTATTTGTGCAGTAGAAAGAATAAGGTCAAACGTATGAAATGGTGAACGAACCCAAAAACATGGCAAGTAAGTTTCTGAATGCAAACAGTGAATCTTAAGGCATGAGCATCGTGGACACACTATGTTACCGGTAAGCGGCACGGAATGAAGGTATTGTACTAAAATAATCTTAGTCAGCAAAAATAGTACTAGAATTCTCTAATAGAAGAGTAAAGAATTGCAAGGAGTACTTCAATGGGAGGACCAACCTTGTTGCCTATGTAGCCCATAGCGCCTACACCAACAGTTGACACCTTCAAGTTCTGAATGTGGCTGCGTAAGCTCCTGCGAACCCAAATTGTCAGGAATATCCCAACCATCTGCTTGCTGACTATCCTGACATAATGTGTTCGTCTTTTCCGTTTTAAAAGGGATTCAATGTCCAGTTCCGCCAGCAAAGACAGATCCGGTGGAGCTTCATTTGTAAATGATTTGAAGGAATTAAATTTTCTGAAAGACTTTGAGGCTTGAAACGATCTTATTGACTTGAAAGAATTTGGTCTCTCAAGAACACCCTGAGATATTAAATTTAATGGAGGCTCAGGCCAGCTTAAACCAATCCTCTCAGAACCACTCAGCATTCTTGTCAATTTCGTGTTGCGCTGAGCAAATGGAACTTCTACTTGCTCTTCTGTCCTTAAGCAATTTAACCGATCTAACCTCTTTGGAGAAGAGAATTGCCTCTCCAAGTCTTGGCCATCCGGCTCACCAAACTTGCCACTGTCAGCATAGTGTGCACCCCCGAAAGTCGTGAATGAACTTCTGTCTGTGACTGGTCTTTCCTCACCAAAGCCATCGGGTTCATCATCAATAGGATGAACTTCCTCATCTCCATCACTGTCAGTTTCAAGTAGTAACTCCTCTTCTATGTCAGGGATGTCTTCGGATGGTTTAAACCTTGATGGAGATGGAGGATCACTATAGCATTTAACCTTGGCCTTTGTGTGTCGGACTCTGTTCAGTGTTTGGCGTATGATGTTTTCCCATTTTGGTACCGGGCGGCTATCTTCGGCCCCAAATATATTTCCAGCATTTAAGGGCACGATCTCTTGAAGACTGCAATGGATAGCGTTAGTCACTACTTAGGAAGCTAATACTACAAAAAAAGTGAATGGCAGTTTCATTGTTTTAGTTACTCAAAATAGGCTCTCCCAGGAAGAATCAATGAAGCACCTCTGCAGAAAGTAATTCCACAGAGGTGGCAAGCTTAAATCTTACAATCAGAACTCAGAAGTACTTTGAAAGACTAAAAGGAAGTACATACCCAAGCACATAGATGTCAGCAGGCTCACTGATGTTTAGCCACTCATCAATATCCAGATCATCAGGTGGAAGCTTTCCTCCCACATTCCATGTCCCAGCGCGTATTCTAGGAACAAGCAAGAATACTTAGATTTGGAGGGGAAGAAGAGAAAGAAGGAAACATTAAGAAAAAAAAAATTATATTTACTGAAGTGATGCTAAGCGGTTCATCTATCGCATGCGCTCAGATATTGAGATACAGCTGGCTAAACGCACGTACTTGATTTCTTTTGTGTTTATATACTGAGCCCGGAAAGTCTCTGACTTCCTTCTTCTCATTCTTGGAATAGTATCTGATTTCAATTTTGTTCCAATTAAAGGTTAGTGATAGTACGAGAAAATGATACTAATGAATTATGTTAACAAGAACCATAGAGTTTCATACGAGACCATCATTTGTTTTCGGAACAATTTCACGTGTTTCTGCAGTGGGAACATTACCAATAGGATCAACTTGAGTATCATTGCGGCAGCAATTCCTAAGCCGAGACCCCCTTCCCCCTTGATCGAATTCTGCAGTTCATCAACTTCAAAATTAGAAAGAACTCCTCAATACCGAAACACTGCTCAAGACAGAACCATAGGTACTCAAACACCGAGGACAATAATTGCATCCTTAAACCTGAATCCCCAGCTAAATTTAAGAAAACCAATAAGGAAAAGAACTTCCAGTACAAGCACATCAAATCTTAACAAGAACTCATAAACCATAGGAAATTAGGGACAAAGCAAAGACAAAACAGAACAAAGCTCACATTTTGAAGGACTTTTTTTGCCAAATTCGAGTATTTCGTGATCTGGGTCTCACTCTCACCTTCAGTGTCGGAGTTGGAGTCGACATCGTCGTCTCCGTCGTCGGAATCGGCGCTGTAATCCGATTCCTTGGCGCTGATGTTGAGCCATTTGCGCACGACCACTCTCGGCCAGAACAGCTGCAGGCAGGAGCAACCCAAACAACATATTTCAGCCCAACTTCTCTGCAAATTCTCCCTCGTTTAAACATCACAGCCCCATAAACAAGGTAAAAAAACAAAACTTTGAAGCAAATTACACCTACATAACATGTTCATTTACAGGAGAGAGAGAGAGAGGGAAGGGAGTACCTCCGGTTGATGCTTTGACCGTTGCCTCATATCTCTGAGCAAAGAATGGCGCTGACTCGAAGATTATAACACAAAGCAGAGGGCAATGGTAAGAGGATGTAAGAACGCGAAGCAGCGAGAAAGAATTCAATCCGACAGAGGATCAAAATGAGAGCTTTGAGGGAGAAATTGATGAGGCTTTCAAAAGGGTTTAACAAGGACTAGGGTCGAGGAAATAATCAAACCCCCAACAGACCAAAACCGACCAACCAGAAAGAACGCAAATTAAATAACTGCCGGTGGAAACTGGAGAGCTGGTCTCACTTCGTAGTTCTGCGCCAACTATGAGTTGACCGCTGTAATAAATTAGTCTTCTGATCCACCACCATTGCACAGACAACCACTAGATGGACACTTCAGAAGAACGCGGATTAGAAAATGGTTCCACTTTCTGGGATTATGGTATAGATTAGAAGTTAGAAAAAATTTTAAATTTGCAATCTTTCTCTTATGAGACCCGATGTGTATCGATTGGTTTAAATTAATAGAAAAGTATGTTTGATACCGAACATCGGAAGAGCAAAAGTGGTCGATGGCGTCGCTGGGCGGCCAGTCCGGCCAGTCGGTAAAACTGCCTTAAAGTAGCCGGCGGGACCGTCACTCTAGAAGCAAATGCGCTCCTTTTCTAACATTAAGACCAAATGGCAAAATCAAAGAAAAAGAAGGAACTGGGGTCAACAAGTTTGTAACTTTTGCTTTGTAGTTTTTTCTCAAAACTGAGTTTTTGCTTCTTCATTTTTTCACATTAATACTATCAACTCTCATTTAACGTCGTACCATCATATCTAACATTCGATGGAAAACCGTTTTGAACTATTTTCATTCTTCCAATCGCGAAGAAACAAACGAGAATATGATCAGTCATTGTGCAAATGAATATTGGATTTTTACACATATTAAACGCCTCTTTATTGGCAACAAGATTCAATTCAACCCGCAGAATTCGTTTGTTGAATCATTCAAGCGTTTGCTTTTCTACCCTTTTTCCCCACACGGACAAAAGGTTGCTCAACTTTTTTTTCTTCTCTCTTTTTTGCCTAAAGAACACTTTTTTTTGCTTGGCTAACAAGGGTTGCAGTTGCTCTCGACTGTGACATGTTAAAGTTCAATCGACTTTGGAGGCTTTCTCAGCAACAGCATCGGGAGGAGTCCTGGCCCAAAATGAATGAAGAAAAAGCGAAAAATTCTAGAGAAAGCAATAACATACATTATAAGCATGTGGGTCCACATATATTTCACCATCCTCAATATTAATCGTTGAAAAAATAGAAGCAAAGAGAAAATTTATAATGTTTGTCGGACGTGTGTGAAGGCATCATCTTCCAACAACACTTGGTCAACAATCCCCCCCATATTATTCTAGTTTCTTTTTTCTATCTTTTTTCTTTTTTTGGGGGGGATTTTGCATGAAGAGGTTCGCTTGGAAATGGATAAGCGAGAGCACCCTTTCACAGATTTTCTTTTCCCCTTTTTGGAGTATTTCTGTCTCCCAGTCAGCAAAAAGGAGGAAATAAACAAAGGAGGGAGGAACAAAAACTAGTTAAAAAATGCAGGGCCAAGGAGAGAGGAACAAATTCCTCATGAACTTTGCTTGGATCAAATTAAATTCCTCCTCTTATTAGAATATTATCGCTCAAAAGCAATTTCTCCGGCGCCCCGAGAAATAAAAAAAGAAGAGGAAGAAAATAAAAGGGAAGGGTACGCGGAGCTAGTAAAGTAGGAGGAATCGTCTAGTGGATGTAGAACCCGGGAGGGGCAGACGGATCACGGCACGACCTTGATTAATGACCTAAAACCATTTTCTTAACACAGTCTCAAGGAAAGAATGAAAGAATATTTATGGGTGTCGTTTTTTTGGTCCAAATTTAACTTTTTATTTCTGCTGGACAAGGTCAACCCCATCTGGTAAAAAAAAAATTGAAAAGGAAAAATCTTTATGTACGAACCTATAGGATGGTATGGTAATAATAAAATGTGTGATCAGGTGGGGGACAGGTCATGTGGAGGCATGAGATGTGCTAATCACGATTGGTGATTACGAGCAAAGCATTAGCCAAAGCTGCGACCAAGCGGCAGTCGGCGGGCCCCGCGGTGGAGACACCGCCGGCGACAACCATGTGCGGTGGACGTGGGTCAAGACATGCACCAAGTTCGTTTTTTGTCTTTCCCTTTTTGCCTTTTTGGGTGATGAAATGATGCCTTTTTTCGAGACCCTTTATGGAAATTAGACCCTTCTTTTTTTTTTTAGAGCTATAAATGGAATTGAATAGGTTAGAAACTTAGCTGCTTATCAAATGATATTGGACAATATTTCAACGGCTTCGAAAGGAAGGAGCATGCAATAAAACTTTGTAGACGTGAGGCCAAGATTCGTGCCACGGCACCATGCGCAAAAGACCTGGAAATTTCGTACGAAAACGACGTTCTTTTTTATTTCCCCAGAATTAAGAAAAACGGCACCTTTGGTTTTTTTGGTCTGTGAAGTGATGAGAAATTAGTGGTCTCATCAAATACCAGAAACACGAAGATGATGGTGGACGTAAAAGCGCACGATTTCTCAAAGCTGCATGTTCGACTTGGCCATGTAGTATGGGATGGATTCTGTGGTGAGTAGACATGAACATGGAAGAGCATGTAAATACTAATAGCAAGCCAATGTCTGAAGAAATTGGCCGAAACTTCGATTTAACAAGTGTTTTCGATGCATGCGAGCTCAAATTACAGACAACTAACATTTCGGGCGAAGAAAAGAAACTAGAGATAAGACACAGACATCGTGAGGCAGGTCAAACTCGAAGCGTTTGGGCAGAGATCATACCTCAAGTCCAGCGTAATCCGATCTCAGTTTTGCAAGGAGGAGAAGCTCTTCTTCCAAAAGCCTTATCAGATGACTCTTTTGCGAGGGTTCTTGCCGAATCCCAGATGGGCTTAAAGATGGAAGCAGCAGGACCGGTTTTTGCCACTTGCAGAGACTTTCAGGCTCTCTGCTTATTCATTTATATACTGAGAAGATAAAGAAAGGAGGGCTCGTCCCTTTCCACAGTTCACCAACCGCTCCCTTCTCGTGCCACATGGTTCTTTTCCTGTCCACCGAAGCAAGCGCCAATCCAAAACAAGACAAGAAAATTTTGTTTAGTTTCGTCATCACCGTGAAAAAAAAAAGGAAAATTGTTCAGTCCAGCTCCAGAGAACACAATAAATTTTAAAAGGGTCTTGACATGGCCCTCTTTTGAAGCATGCTTCGTAAAGAATAATTCCATGGACCTTCTCTGTATAATTCATGCAAAATGAGTGCATTTGCTCTTTTTCAATACAGGCCGCATCCATCCACCATGATTGATTCGGGTTTGGTTGGCGTTTAGCTTCTGAAAATATAACTATTTGTGTTACTAGCTGTGGAGGTTGGCTTCTGTGAGGGAAAAAAATAATAATAAAGTTAAGCATACGAATATTCGGTGCAATCGTATCTCGAGTTCTGGATCACTGATAAGTTTTTCTTATTTGACTACTTAACAAATACGTGGAAACTCACTAATAAAATCAAATCGTGTAGAACTGTCTCATGCATATTCGCTCTATGCCTCGCTTCTACTCAAGTAGTGAACTCGAGATCTCAAGTCATAACTCACTTAGGGCCGAAGGACTCCGTGTATTGGGATACCGCTCAGCTAGAATCGAACTCAAAACCTTCAATAAATGGGCCCTGGTAAGCAGAAACGTCCATATCGCTAGCACAATCCAGGCGGGTGCTAGAAAGAGACTATGAATTCAGTCACGGAAATTTCATTTGGGGGTGAAATTTGTTGGACAGACCAATTGAGAGAAAAGGAAATCAAAATTTGGTTGGTGCAGTGCAGCAGAAAACGAACCCTACAGGCCCACATGTGCAAATCTATGGTCAGCCTTCGGTTGAGAAGTATGTCTCGAACAAGTAAACCGGCAAAACATGTGTACCTCGAATCATTAGACCGGTCTTTAGCCATATGGAAACTATGCGTATTTCTTTTTTTCTTATTTCACTCTACCATGAGGCCGGCGGAGGTCGCCAGCCGCCGGTGAGGGCGTCCCCCTCGCCAGCCTTTGGCGAGGGCTAGGTGAGGGTCCCTTTGCCGAATATGGCGAGGGGCAGCCTTGCTCGGCCCTTGTCGGCAACCGGCAGAGGGTGGCTAGCGACTAGCGGAGGAAAAAAAGGAAAAAAAAAAAGAAAGGAAAGCAAAAAAAAGAAAAGAAGGAAAAGAGGAGAAAAAAATAAAAGAAGAATTAATAAAAATTTGAAAAAAATGTCACATCAACGTTAATTGTACCATGTAAGACGGCTGGTGTCTCATCAGTAATTTTTAGCCTAAATTGATTGGATGGACTCAATTGGTAATTTGCCAAGGCAGAGCTTCATCATCACTCACACAACACAAGTCAAGCTTAGCCATCTTCCCTGTGAAAAGGTTTATGACAAAACTGGTCAAATTGAATTTAGAACTAAATTTATATCAATGCAATAGATTTATGACTTTTTGAGTGCTTTCCCCCACAATTGGCTTGGTCTATAGACTTTTTACTACCGATGAATTTTAGGCTGTGATAGGCATGTGCATATGTATATTGCTAAATTCCTCTTTTGACTTCTCAAATTTTGTATCTAACTTTTGCGAGTAAGATCTCTATAAAGAGGTTGAAAAAAGATGAGGGATTTTGCTCAAGATCGTCACACGACCACCTCGGAACGAGTGCTAAGAGAGCATTTCAAATCCAATTGCACATTAAGCATGACTACGTGATCGATCTTTAATCATCATTGTGAATCTTTACTCTTGTCGTGCACCTTTCGAGCAACTGATACGACTACGGGGAGGAAATCAAATGCTTGAGATCAAAGCAAATGTAGAATCTCATTTGAAATAAGAAGATGGGGAACCAAATGACCCACCAAATTTCACATCCAAAAGTTTAGGGGATATTTGATTGATGAAAGAGGAGTAAGAAACGATTATTTCGATGATCACACCTTTGATTAATATTGTTATACATAATCGTTGCTATCTAGCAATATAAGTGATTACCGATACATTGTCGACAAATATTTGGCGACACCATAGAAGATACTTTAGCTTCTAAGTCACGGAAAACAAGAAAAATGACTAGTTTAGACACAAAAAATAAGGAAAATAACTGCACTTGCGATTAATTAATTTCAAAAATCTTGATTTTGAAAATTTATCTTATTCGACACAAAAAATAAGGTATTATATGGTTGAGATTTGGACCACACGTTTATTTTGCGGCATCAATTGACGTGACTCCACCCAGTCAGTATCAAAACAATGTCAAATGCTACGTGTTATTAGATTGTGCTCCAAAATTCTATTATCTAACGTTTTTTTTTTTGTTATAATTTTGGAAAAGAATCTACTGTTATAGTGTCATTTCTTCGAAAGCGATGGGCTTGATATAATATTTTATATAATCTACTGTTATAAGTTTGTCGATAGTG